TTTACCTCATTCGCGACCGATTTTAGCCCCCCTGCTGTGTTTAAACTCCTTACGTTCCACGTTAGGGAAAAGTTCTTAAAATAAAAGTTCTAAGGGTTTTTTTTTTTTTTGTAATAAAGGTTTATGATAAAAAGTTAAACTTTTAATTATTCAAGTTCTGAAAAAAAAGTGACGTTCAATGAAAAATAAACAGTAATTGGGTTGTCTTAAATGAATTACACACGATGTTTCGTTTGTTTGAATTGTATGGATTACAGTCATTTTTAGAAAGACTTTCTAGTGAAATCGACAAATCTTTAAAATTAAAATTTTTTAAAAATAAAATTTCTGTAAAACCTTTATTTGAAATGCAGCAAGGGAAAAAGTTCCAGTTCCAAAAGAACTAAAATTCCGATAATAACGAATATTTTTTTAAATAAAAGATTTTTTCTGTTTCAAGCACTGATGCTTATTAAAAAAATTTTAATATGGTTGTTTTAGGTTATAGGGGGGAGAAAGGAGTAGTAGTTACTTTTTTTAGATCGCCTCAAAAATAAATCCGCCACTGGTACCGATAAATAAAAACAGAAACCATTTTTAGAAGTTAAAAGTTTATTTTTTTTATTTTTTTTTTTTGTCTCCATATCTCCATTCTCACCTGTCATGAGCTTGGCAATAAGCAGATGTGCTGTAACTAATACGAAAAAATTGACATTTTAAGCATGAGAAAAAAAATACTACCCAGCAGCACTTCTTCCTGGTCTTGATTTATTTCCTTAATTCAAGAAAACAGATCTCTCATCCAGCTCCTCTTTAGTCGTCTCCAGCTGTCAGCTGTGGTCATATCGTTAATAAGTCCGTTGTGATGTCCGTGTAGTTTAAGATGAAATCTGGAGCAGATATTGTATATGTGTTGGTCGGTAGTTGGTTATCGTAAGTCGTTATGTAAAGTTTTGTTGTTTGCGGACCAAAGAGTTCCTGTTATAAATCGTAAAATTTTGGATTGAAATGTCTGTAGTTTTTGTAAGTGTGTCTTTTTTGCGTAAATTTGTGAGGCTCATGTCCATATGGGTTTCGGTAGGTAAGTGTATGTATTGAAATTTGACTGATTTTCAATTTTGATTTGGAAAAAAGTGAGTACAGTATTTTCAGTCACTTGTTTAAGGTCTGTCGTTTCTTTTTGACGTGTGGGCCCCAGGTCTTCCTTCTGTCGAACATTAGTCCCAGGTAACGTACTGTGTTTGTCTGAGGAATTTGGTTCTCTCCTATATAAACTGGTAGGCACGTTTCTCATCGAAGTGTAAATGTCATATGTTGTGTCTTGTCATGGTTCAATCTTATTTTCCAAAGTGAATACCAATTTTGTAAAGTTAGTAAATGATTTTGTAAATTCAGTGAGGCTAGTCTGGGGTCGTGATTTTTGGTTGTTATTATTATTATTTATTATTATTAATTTGTAATTTTTAATTTTTAATTAAATTCAACATTACCGGCCATTGTATCACTTCATTTTTTATTTCTCATAACATTAAATTAGTTGACAGGCTCACTAGTTTTAAACTGGAAGGCGCACAAATAATTACAGGGCATTAATTGTCATGGAAACATCATAAGAAAAAAGTCGTTATGTAAGTGATATCAAGGCTCAAGCTTGTATTTCATTCATCGGACAAAAAAAATTTTCCACCTCTTCATTCATACCCATCTCTAATAAAAGAAAACAATGTTATATCATTATTTTATATAGAAAACTTCGGAATAAATATCAGAAAACCGAAACAAATATTTAACATAAAAATTAAATTTTTGCTAGAAATTTTCCGCTCCTTAAATCTAGGAAAGGAAGGTAAGTGTCCATTTCATCTCCCCCTTTTCCCTAGTTCCGGTCGTATAAGCCATATTAGAAATCGGAGGATCTTTTGAAACTGTGATTAAAATTATGTATTATACTTATAATCGACTTTAACTTCCAAAATCCATCAAATTTTAACTTACATTTTAACTTGCTACAAATTTACATTTATTTTCTATACCGCTCAATTTCCACTGCTTACTAAGTCAATTAATTACTCAATTATGTTTTCGGATAGCAGGGGATTCGGTCAAGAACCCGTTATAAAAAAAACAAAAAACAGATGTATTGGTTTAATACTCCAGTCATCATTAGCGACGTATCCACATAATTATTGGAACATTATTAGATATTTTAAAATAAGAGGCACAGACGTACCCAGAACCATTCAGTTACTTCAAGTTGCTTGACACCAATTTTTTTAAATAATTAATTTCTTTGTTTTTTCAATGGTGGCGTACGATTGTTTAATACAATAGACTTTGCTGATGCAAGCTTTCAGTATTCTGGTAGTCAAACACCGTGTTGTTCGTTGACTTGCTCTAACCACTTAACAAAATTGTTTAGATTTTGAAATATAGTAGCAAAATATTTCAAAATGTACTACGAATTATTTAAATGTCAGCGCTTACGCGGGTAATTATTTAACGTTTAGTACGTAAAATTAAATTGCTGTTTAATACATACTAGATAATGGTATTCATCCAATATAAGTTTATAGATTAAAAATAAAAATGGCTTTAGATTATTGTAGTTGTTTAATTATGTAATTATATAACATTATAGTTTATTTTAAATATGTAAATAAATCTCTATGTATTAGAAAGTCTATTGATATGTTTTATAATACGTCATGCTATAAAACTATTTGCAACATTATCTACAATAGTCCTAATATTGCCGTATAACCACACACCATATTATCTCGTTTGCTATCCAAGTCATCTACCGTTGCTGCCTTACCACCATTTCACAGTATGAAGAGTGATATAAATCAAGTAAAAAGATCCAAAAAACCTCAAAATTTATAATAAATGCAGTTTCCACATTCACCTCAAACAGTCATTTCCGATTGAGCGGAGAATATTAAATTAGAAGGTTTAGAGGTGAAAAAGTCTTCCAAGTGATCCTGAAAATATTGAAATTCTAGCTTATTATGTCAATCAGCCTCTTTTTTTGGCAATGTTTCTTGGTCAAGTAACATTTTACCGTAGAATGTTCCAAGTAACTTAAGAAGAGCCAGAGAGGTACATCAAATAAATTTAATTTAATGAAGTCGAATGATATTGCTCAACAGAAAATAATAATTTCCTAATATGTAAATTTGCATTATTTGGAAAGAAAACAAAATTCAACTTGTTCACATTAGAAAAGACAAGAAAAGAAAATTTTAAAGTACAACGACTTTTAGGTGGATATTTTAAATAAAAATCTTTCTCGAAACGATAAAGAAATCATACTAAACTCACTGCGAGCAAACTTCTTTACTAGGTGCTAGATGTAAGTGAACAGCTGGAAGAAATGTCTCCACCCAAGCTCCCAATGGAGTAAGTAGAGTTGGTCCGAAAGACGAAGATCGAAAGACTTCTTATCGGAACAGAGGTTGCCTGAACGGAAATTCAAATCGTTAATTCAATAAACAAGAAATGTTAATGATACTTTTGTCTTCGCATAGGATTAGTTGTACTAAAATTAGTTTCTTTATTTCTCAATGGAAAGAATATACTAAGATTAGAAGTTTCAACCACCTAAATTGCCCAACTGAGTGAGTAACTCTTAAAACTAAATTATAAAAATTTAAAATAAATTTAGTAGTATCTTGACAGTGGAGGTTCGTCATACGGGTCACTGAGTCGTTGAATAAGAGTAAGAGGTAAAAAAAAAAAAAAAAGTAATATGGAAACAATACCAACTATAACAGTACCAAACCAACCCATAAAGGGTCTTGATTTCAGTACTATATTCGAAAGCACTGTTTCCAGGTCAGCGGTTGTGCAAGGAAGTGCAATCAACAAGCGTGCGGCACTCACCCCGACATTTTCGGATTAAACCATAACGAAGATCCAAAACTTAGGCCGAAAAGTAACCATAAATAAAATTATTTTAGTTGTGTGAATTTAACTTTGGTAGCCATCGCCAATCAATGCCATCCATTTCAATCTTCCTCTATTAAATGGTCTCCAGTTAAACATTTCTATACCATTATAAATTATTTTTTGTTCAAACTTTTCGTTTTCAAACTTTATTGTTAATAATGTAAATGTTAAAAACAGCCGGATCCCTTAATAACTTGGAAGATGGAAATTATGAACACCTTTTAATTCTTAATATTAGAATGATGGTTTACTGTATTGAATAATTAAAGAAAAGTTGGTTGGAGTGTTCAGTTAAAAACAAACAAATTAAAAATAAATAAATGATATTTATTTTTATATTCGCCGACGTTTCGGTCCAATGTTCAGGCCATCATCAGGGCTAATAAAAGACAATACGAGAAACTGTTAACTAATGAAAAAATAAATAAATAAAAAATAATATTAATAATAATAATGTAAGGAACATATGAAAAAAATTAATAAAAGTAAAAGAATGAAACTTATAAAAAACTAATAACAATATTAGAGAGAAACTAATAACAGTTATGAGAGTAACAGTTATTAGAGAGCAACTTATGAAATAAGTTTTCTATTACTGTTATTAGTTCTTCTATAATATTGTTAATTATTTAAGTATTGCAGTATTGTTAGTAATTTAAACACGCATGTATGTGGATTGAAATGAAAAAAAAAATCTTATTTATAAAGTGTCTAGTAAATATATATTTTAGTATAACTTTATAAAACATATTTCATCTTAATTATTATTCCCTTACCGTTATCTTTTTTCTTCAAAACCAATTGAATAAGCGATATGCACACCATCTATTGAGGACGCACTCAAAGCGTTTAGTACAGAAGACATTAATAGAGTGCATTAATGTCGAAACATTCACGTGTTCAAGATATATTTTCTTTACTTAATTTTGAAGAAATTTTGATTTATTTTATTTCAAATTCTCGAAAATTTTTTATATATTCATTTATACAGAGTACTTTTTGAGATATTTTCTTTTATACCATGCTAAAAATTGTTATCAGTATTGGCAGCGCTGAAGTTTGTAAAAATGGAGGCCTGATGCAAGCACCACAACAAAATTTTCAACGGTTATTTTGGTAAATCATATTAAAGTTATTTAATACAAGTTAATATTAGTTACTAGTGATCGTTTCGTTAATCTGTGTCTATTTCCTGACGTTAGTTACGAATAATTGAGTTTTAAACGATTTTTAAATGTTCGGTCTTCTCAGTGGCGGTTGTTTATAGGCTACGTGAGGTTTTTAAAATTTAAAATGCAGCTTTAAAAGGTGACATTTGAAACTTATTTTATAGTATGTTCTAGAGGAAATTTAATATTGGTACTACAAAGTGAACAAATAGTGTAATGCAACCTATTATCATAAAACCTTGAGGATAATGCCTTCTCCAAGTTTGTCATGTCAAATTTAGTTATTATTTCTTGTTGTTCAGTAGTATTATGAATGAAAAGGTTTAAATTATATGTTGATACTTTGTTTCATAAGTTTCTTTACAGCTATTATTACATTTGTTTTTTTAATTCTCATTTTAATTGAAATTTGACAGCATTCTTTCTTTCATTTCATTTTCTTCTTAAGTGAAGTCTACAGTATTAGTTGAGAAGTTTAAAGTATGGTATTTCATTTAAAAATTTGACGGTATAGCTTTTCTAAAGTTCTTGCAAAATATATGGCTATTAATCATTGATGTATATTTAAATGCCCATGATTTTTTAACTATGTTTAAATTTAATGCTTCTAGCTAAATATTGTTAGGTTATTATTAAATTTATTTATAGAAAATATTTGTTCTTTCAGATATGTCTAAAAGGAGCTACCTATTTGTGAAAATCTAAAGATGGTAAAAGGAAGAAGAAGAGGGAGGACCCCTTCAACTCGGGTCACAGAAAGCCAAAAAAAGTCAGAAAAAGTGACATTTCAAGGAAGATTATCTCATACCAGCCCTGCTGGTAAAATAACGTCATATTTTGATGCTGACAGTAAGTTGGATGTTACGCCTAAGGTAGCTCCTAGAAACCTTTCTCCAGCAATATCTGTATTACAACAAAACAATAACATTATAAAAAAAAGTCCTCACCGTATAGAAATCTCTGATACAACTGAAGACAAGAAACCTAAAGCTCCCATAAGAAGGAAACCCCCTTTAAATGATGCAAAGTCAAACAAGTTAACTGACTATTTTCCTGTAAGAAGGAGTGTGAGGAAGACTAAGAAGACTGTACTTGAAGAAAAGCAGAAGATTATTGAAGAAGCGGTGTTATCAGGCCGAGAAGATGGTTTAGAATGCAGAACTTTTGTTGGCAAAGGTAGAGGCATAGTTTCTGTTAAAGAATTCAAACGTGGAGACTTCGTTGTTGAATATGCTGGAGAATTGATCTCGCTTGAAGAAGCAAAGATACGTGAAGCTATGTATGCTCAAGACCAAAACACTGGTTGTTATATGTACTATTTTATGTTTCACAATGTGCAGTACTGTATTGATGCTACAGCTGAAAGTAACAGACTCGGAAGGCTTGTAAATCATTCTCGTAATGGTAATCTCATGACAAAAACCATTGCTGTTGGTGGTTTACCCCGGTTGGTATTGATTGCCAAGGAAGATATTAATCCTGGTGATGAGCTGACCTATGATTATGGTGATAGGAGCAAAGAATCACTAAGGTTTCATCCATGGCTGGCTTCTTAAGCAGTATTAAAAGATCTACCAGTAGTTTTATGCATTGGTTTCATTGAAAGACTGTACTTTTATTTTATGTATATATTTATTATCTATTTATTTTTAGAATGATTTAAGTTTAAATCGGTTTTATTAGTTTCAATGAAATTTTTTTTTCCTTTACGGTGATCAAATTTATTCTGATCAAAATTTATGTTTTTGTATATAATCATAAAATTTAAGGGATTAGTTACAAATTTTAAATCTGTTATAAATAAGTACATATGAATCATTAATGATTATTTTCACATTTATCGCTAAGTTATTGCACTAGTTGTCATTTAAATTGTATTATCAATGTATTTTATTATGGGAGGGTGGCGCTTCCAAGGATTATTGCCATATTTATTGTTATTTATATAATATATTTAGACTGTTGTAAACTGTTAATAATACTGAAATGGAATTTTGAATAAATGAAACCTTATCAAGCAACTTTATTTCTTCCAATTTAAAATTTTTATATTAAACTTTAATTCTTTAATCTACGCAGTTACCCATCAGTTTATTACTGTGTACTAGTTCATTATTAGTTATTATGATAATTAGTTATGGATTATTTCATTTGTTTATATCATCATTATCAACTATTCATTTAATTCTAAATCTGAATAGAACAAAATTAAGTAAATGATATTTCCAATAGTTTGTTCCATTTTTATTAAAATTCTTAATGTTATTCATGAGGAATTTATATTTTTCAAACTTATAATTCATTGTAAATAGTATGGTTTTCAAAATTATTATATTGTAATGGAAAGCTGAGGATTAATATACTTTTGTTAAAAACTTTTATCATTATATCCGCACCTCTCACTCAGGCTGCAACAATTAGCAGATGAGAAGTTAGTTGATACAATTGGCATGTGAAATATAAAAGGTCAATTCAACAGCACTTATTCCTAACCTGAAATACTAATGAATCCAGGAAATATCGTTTTTAGCTTTCGTTAGATGCTTTCTCATATTTGTTGTAGCCATGTTTTGTTTAAGTTTCTTGGTATGCCTGTTTTTTATAAATTGTTATTGACTTTGTGTAGTAGGTATATAGTTGTATTTAGTGAATGAAATCCAATTTAGTGTGCTGATAGTATTTGGTTGTCTATCAGTATGTCTGTAAAATAATTTTTTAAGCAAATCAAAAGTAGACTAATGGGTCTGTATGATGAAGGGTTATTTATTGGAATATTTGTTCGGTTTTTTTATCATAAGTACTTGTGAAGACTTCCATTGCATTAGAAATTTTGTTGTCCTCACTATGGCGTTTTTTAGCACTTGCAAGGAAACGGGCTGGAGGGAACCACAAGAAAACCATGCAAAGAGATGGTGACATTCGGAGGCTAACGAATTTATTTATCTAGGCTCTATGGTAACACAGGACAACAATGCAGAAACGGAAATTAGGAGGAAGATAATATCTGACAATCATTGCTACTACAACCTGAGAAAACAGCTTGCCGGCCACGTTCTCTCCCGCCAAATTAAATTACATCTTTACAAAACCATAATCTGCCTAGTGCTGATATACGAAACGTGGACCATGACTAAACAAGTGTTCAAGCGGAAAATCCTTCAGAGGATATTTGAAGGAGTGTTGGTGGATAGAACATTGAGGAGGTGCACAAACCAGGAGGTTTATAGTCTATTTAGAGAGCCAAATGTCGTTCAGATGGTTAAATTGGGCAAGGCATGTGGCACGCATGAGCAAAGAGAAGTTGTCCAGGAAGCTTTTCATGGAGCCTCTCTATGGAAGGGAAAGACAAGGAAGAATGAAACAGAAATGGATAAACAAAGTTGCAGCTGACGCTAGGAACATCCTTGGAGTAAGCAACTGGATAGCGGCTGCACGAAACCGTGATGATTGGTGGAAGTTGCTGGTTGCTGTGGCCAACATCCAGCCTCTTATTATATGTGCCAAGATAATAATGGCGTTCAATAGAATTGTTAAACAATCGCTTTTCTGAGTATATGCTGGAGTAGCTCAGCAGTTGTCAGATCATAGGAGGGTTTTCATTTAGGTAATTTCTGGTCATACCTAAGATGGAGTAAAAGCTGGAGGGGTGTCAAGAGAATCTTTTATATAATTTTCATGTTCACTGTCTGGGTAGTCAGTATGTGATATAGAAAGTCAATAGATGATCGGCCTTATTTCTGACATGGTCTTAACAGCATCCTATTTTTGTAGTGGCCCAAATACCTCACTATTTTTAGTTTGACTCCATAAGTTTGCATCGTAGTACTCAGATTTTTTATAAATGTATGATAATTAGTCTATTTGAATTTCTTTGTCATTTATTTATTATTTATTCGGTTATATGTCTGTATCATACCTTGTGAGTTTTTCTCTTGGGTATGATCAAATCCCTTATGTAATGTGGGTAATTTGGCTGGATATTTATTTTTTGCGTTTAGGAATTGATGAGGGCTGTGCAGATTCCTGAATGCTATTTGTCAAGACTTTCAACAGAATTATAATTTCATTTTCAATTTTCATTGAGAAAATAACTGATAACAGCTGATTTAAATTTGCTTGAACAATCCCAATCTGTATTTCCTTAGATAAACCGTGTGTATTCTACCTTTTGACATAATTCTTGAAAGAGGAACACATGTAGAAGGGAATGATCAGGCCACAGATCGGAGCATAGAGTTGTGTAAAGTACGACCTGTTTTCCTCAAGTAACAAAGAAATCTAATAATTCTGGTGTTTTTAAGTCTTAGTATAGTATTTAACTAAAGCTTATGGAAACCAGACCAAAGATTTCTTTCTCTTGGAGAACACATTGTGATGCCCCATAATCGATGTTTAGCATTGTAGTCACCACCAGCAATGGAACAGCTGCCCAATTTTTGGAAGAAACTATAAAATATGCTAAATGTCAGCAATTACTGAGGTGGAGAAACTGAATATAGAATTTAATAAACCAAATTTCAATAGTTTGGTAAGTTATAATAATGTTTCTATTAAATGTGTCTCAGCTCATAAAATAAAGTTTGATACAAAAAAAAAAATTGTTTTAATATAGTAGAGGAAATATGTGTACCTTAGGCCACCCTATGAATATGAAATTTCACCGGAGAAAATCCACGATTTGAGGCAAAATTGAGTAGGCTGCTCTGTCAGAACACTTTGTAGCTGATTTTGGTGCCTCCGTTGCTTGATAAGAATGTTTTACAGTTGGAAAAGTAATTTATCTTTATTTGGTATAGTAATTTTTAATCAAAAAGTACATAAACTTACTCAAGATTATTAGTCGACTGATGTACAGTAATCTCTGTAGCTTTTTTTTTTTAAAGCAAGTTTTAAGCAAAATACTGTAGGACTTTGATAAAAAAATAAAGTCATATCCTTGAACCTTGGGCCACTGTTTTATTACATAAATATATTTTCAAAACATGTCTTGTGAGAATAAATCCTTGATTCATGATTTTTACTGAAGAAGTTTATAAAAGATATATTGCCGGCTTTCAACAGATAACATGAAAAAGTTAGCTTACTAGTGTAGATATGTGATACTTATTATTGAATAATAATTATAATTCCTATTACAAAAATATTGCCCAAAATATAATTTATTATTGCAGCCCAAGGTACAATATAGAGTGGCTCAAGATAAAACTATAGTAATTATATCTTGGGTCATTTATTATTTTTAAAAATGATTTTTTTTTTTTCATAGTCAAGATCTGGTGATAAAATAATAATCTTCAAAGCATGACAAATAAAATTCTATTTTGAACTTTAAAAAAACATTGTTATTTTAGAAGTTATGGAACATTGAAAAAAAGTGACCTGAGATACACGTTTTTCCCCTATATTTCAAAATAATTTTAAATATATAATGCAGATAAAAGGCTGAAGACCGGTTTTAAACATTTATACTTTTTTTAAAGGTCTTCTAAAAATTTAAAAAAACATTTTCAAGGAAAAACTATAAGTTTCTATAGTACCTTTTTTGGAGAACAGTCCATACATTATCCAGTTAAATACATTTTCATGACAATTTCAGTTTTCATCTATTTCAGGGGTTTCTAAAATCCATCCTTCAACTGCCTCCAATCTGACCAGCGAAAGTGTCTTAAAACTATTTAAAAAATATGAAATTTAGTAAATCACTCAATAGGTTACTAAAATATTTATTACATGAGTAGTTGTCTCTTAGTAAGCTTATTTCACAACTGAAGTGTCATTTATGGAACAAAAATTTTGTTTTCATCACAAGTCTTGGTTCGCGGTACTTGATGGGGATCTCTATGTGGTCCGCAGGACTCAGTGGAAGGCCAGTAGACCAAACATTTTGGAAACCTCTGATATATGCCATATCAATTATATTTACGGGGTATGAATAACATCTGGAAACATGATCGCTGCCTTTAGTCTTCATTCTACTCATCTTTAATCTGACTTAAAATGTAAGTTACTTTCAAAAGCCCTAAGGTACTTTCTTTCCTATAGGTTTCAAATTCATTATAATGATTTCTAGTAAAATAATCTTGTAATTATTTACCTCAGTAGAAAAAAACTGAGATATCTTTTGACATTTAAAGTATACAAATTTTAAGTTATGAATTGTACTTTTATTCTGCTTAAATTTCACTGCTATTCAATATAGTTGATCCAAAAAATTTGTTAGTTCATTTGTGGTAATGTCATATTCTCTAATTAGGGCCAAAATTAATGATTATTTATCTCAGTCAATTTAATTCATCCACCATCTAGGGTTCACCATGAACTAAAATTCAACTGAATTAATTAAATGATATAATTTATGAAATCTTAAAGTATAATTTAATTAAGTTTCAGGAAAAAAATGAAACAACTATTAATAAAATCCATATAAAACTCTTTATTATAAATATGTAGACTAACATAATTTAATAAGTTATTCAACTAAGCTAAGTTTGAGCAATCATTCACTGTTTTCTCATTGAAAGTTCTTTTCTCTGCTGGTCAACCATTGTTTCCAACTGAGCGCACTGTTCAAGAGCTGCATCTCTCTGCTTTTGAACCATTCTTACTGTTTCATCTTTCTTAGCGATTGCTTCCTTAACTCTGTATAATTGTAAAACATTAGGAGTAAATTTCACAGCTCGTTGAGAATAAGTTTAAGAATAATAAAAACTTTCAAAGGATTTCATTAAATGACTAGCTAATAACAATAATTAAACTTAATAAGTAAGCACCTGTTATACACCTGCTGCAGTTCTCTCTCTTTTTCTGCCTGTAATAATGCTACTGCTTCTTCCTTCTTCATCCGTTCTTCACTAAGTTCTCTCTGAAGTGCTGCGATCTGAGAGCAAGCTTCAGATCTAGCTAATGAGCGTGATTCGCTTCTTTCATACTCCAACCGTTCAACATGCTGCGTAGAAAAAGAGAAATTAATTATTATACATAGGCTATCTTTTCAATGCATTTTTATTTTCAATATTAGAAGTAATTGAAGATGTTTTAACTTTTTTATTTAACTAGTTGATAATTAAAATGTAATACATTATATCAAGCATAAGACACATAGTAAGAGAGATGGGCTTCAGCCTGTCCCTTTTCCCAATAAAATGATTTTTTTTTTTAGAAAATCAATATATGTACATGAAATATAAATTGTTTACTAATTTTTTTAAGGACTTAACTTCTTTTGAATGGTAATTGAGTAGACTCCTCAGAATCAAACCGAGATGTCAAACTATTTAGTATTGAATTCATTAGCCCTCTATGAAATGAAATTCTGAGTAAGGGCCTGTTCAGTATGAATAAAATTGAAGTGGGAGATGAAGAAACAATAAGAAATGTAGTTTAAAAGTCACATCAGCAAATATTATCTGTTCAAAATTTGTATTAACAATAAAATTTATATTCTAAATAGTAAACTCATACAAACTCTCACAATAAGTATATAACCTTCTTTTCAAAAAATTCTAAGTATTAACACAATACTAACGTAACATATTTATTTATATTAACACAATTGGGTGATTCTCTCTCATTTTAGGGGCAAGTTTTAGTCCCACTGCTGAAGAAGTACTTGTTCATAATGAAATAATAAAATATTAAACAATAGTGTTATTTTATAATTATTTAAGTTACTAAATGTCATTACTTTCAGTAGGTATTGCTCCACTCTCAGTTTTCTAGTAAACAATTTTTTTTCTTTCAAAACCTATGTACAATGTCAGTGAAATTTATTTCCGTTCCTAAAGAATAATTAAGGCATTTTGAATTATATATTTTTTTCAACTTTTGTTAACAGTGAAGTATGTTATTTTCAAACATTGTCCCATCACTTTGATGTGGGTATCAAGCAAAAAACATAACATCAGATATTTAAAAGGGCAGATACCAGTTGGAGAGCCTCCCTCTATGCATCCGTTTCTTATTCGTTGAGCACATACTTTATTGTTGTCATTACCACCACGTATATTATCTCGCTACCTGTTACAAATTATTTTATTTATTATAATTCACATTTATCAGTTGGAAAACAAAAATTGTAATACTAGTTACACCGCAGTTTTGGCTGAATAAAAACGTGAAAATGTCATCACCAAGTTGAAAACTTGTTTCATTCCCACAACCGAATAATTAGCTTTACTTACTTTAATTACTGTGCCAAAAGCACTTTTGATCTTGGCCATTTGCTCAGATAAAGCTGAGCGGAAGTAGAAGGTGTAGGTATTTAGAAAATTATATTTAAATGCCGTCAAAATTGTTAAAATTTTATCTCTTCTGTTCATTTTTCCTACTTTTGGTGTCTTGAAGTTTTTTTATTTGTTACAATAAATTAGGCCATTTTTCACCAACATTTTATTATTACGCATCAATTTAACGTTTCGCCCATACTAAGGGTCATTTTCAAAACTTGATGAGTCCTCGTAATATGTTCATCCTCAATGTTCTAATTAATATGTTCAGTGAACATTAACTTGTCAATTTTTATAAGGCCTTCGCCCACGTCATTTCTGGAGGGACTGAAATGACGTGGGCGAAGCTCTTATAAAAATTGACAAGTTAATGTTCACTGAACATATTAATTAGAACATTGAGGATGAACATATTACGAGGACTCATCAAGTTTTGAAAATGACCCTTAGTATGGTCGAAACGTTAAATTGATGCGTAATAATAAAATGTTGGTGAAAAATGGCCTAATTTATTGTAACAAATAAAATTTTATCATTAAAATTTCCCCTAATCTGAGAATCACCCAATTATGTTATCAAGAAAGTCTATTCAACTCATGGAATTAGTAAAGCTACATACTTTATAATAATTATACTCAAGCACTAAATAGAACCTTCAGGACAAAAAAGGTAATTGCGCTTCATAAAAACTGTATGATATTTCGAATGATGAAAATAGAAATTTTTATCTCTTTTTATTCATTATGCACATATATTTAAGTTTTTACTTTCATATAAAAAATAATACAAATCGTTTCATCTAAAATTTAAAAATAAATTTTTAAGAACCTGTTTAGCTGTTGTCAGCTGACATTCGAGTTGTGTGGTCTGTGTCCGTAATTTACTCACTATCTCTTCATAATCCTGGATTTCTGATCTAGCATCCTTTAGTTTTCTTTTTAATTCATGCAGTAATCCTTCAGATTCTTTTAATTCCCTCTCATACTCCTCTTTTATTCTCCTAAAATAGGTAGTGTATCATTTATTAACAAATATTCACAATGAATAAAATAGCTTTGATGAATTTTAAAAGATAGAAGGAAGAAATCTTAATATAACAACTTCGAATAGAGTAAGTAGGTGAACTATAGAACAGATAAAGTGAAGGCATGGGAGAAAACTGATTACACGAGTGGCTCGTAAGAGACTTAATAAATGGTTTCATTTTTAAAGTAACTCCAGGACAGAATAAAATACATACTAATCATGATGGCTCTTACTATATTTCATGGCACTCATAGTATTTAAAATAAACAAAGCATTCCACAAAAATTTAAAAATGAATAAAATATGTTTATATTTCTTTTATGCTAAAGAATGAATTTTTGGACACATCATATGATAACATTTAAACTGTTATTATTTTTTTTTTTAGTTCTATTTGTAATAATTCAAAAAGCTCAATAATATTATTTCTCTCCTCTTTTATTTTGTTTGCATTTTCAGTCAGTCACTGATAATTCTTTTACACCCTTGGAATGAGCTTGCTGTTTTTTTTCTTCTTCTGTATAGTTGTGAGGGAAGATTTTTTTTTTTTGTTTCAAACCATATTTTTTAATATTTTATCACATTTCTTAGTTTACTTTTCTCTTAGTGTTCTTATTTAGTTCAATACTATTTAACTCAATTCATGACTGAAACATTCAGTTTCATTTAATTATTAGTTTCCCTAGTACAATTTAAGTTAATAAGTTAAATATTTAATGTAAAAAAAATATTATAAAATTTGAATATATTTTGTTTTGAAAACTTTTTTTTATTTAACTTTCAAATTATTTTTCATGTAAAAATAAAACTTATTACAACTAAAAAAATAAATAACTTATAACTATCTAACACTTATTATGTATAACATTAAAACGGCTTAACAGAAGCATTCATTGGCATCCAAATCAATAAATTAATGATAACAATAATACACTTTTAGACTTGAATAATTTAAATTTTTAAATCTTTAACTCTTACACAATTTTTGCTTCAAGGGTCCTTTCCTTCTCTTGTGCTTCGTCATCTAACCTTCTAATGACAGCTTCTATATGCCTATCTCTTTCTTTCTTCACTGATTCACGGATCTGCTTTTCCTTTTCAACAAGTGCGATTGTCTGATGATTTAACCAAGACTGTCTTTCTCCCTCAAGTGTTTCTCTCAATGCTTTTAACTCTGCCTGAAAGGAAAAAAATATAAATAGCATAACTTTAAATCCAAAACTTTACAGTTATCACCTAATAATTATTTTTAAAATACTTCATGTTTTTCTTGAAGCATCGCCATGCGTTCTTGAAGATCAGCTTCAGCCTGCTTCCATTTCTCCTCCAGTTGCCTAGTTCTTTGTGCTAAACTAGCATTAGCTTCTCGCTCCAACCTTTCTTTCTCATCCCTAACTTCATTCATTAGCCGTCTTCTTTGTTCCTGATAGCTTCTTTCCACTTCAGCTAACTCATCTTCAAGCCTATCAATTTATGGTAAATGAACTAAATATAAAGAAAAGTTAAAAGAAAATATTAAAATTATTATATTGAAGTCTGTTCTATAATCAATAAGTATATATTCTTACAAGCCTTTTCTATTCAGGCTAAAAGTAAAGAAAACCTCAGTTGAGATGGGTGTGGGTGTAAAGAACTATGTAGGTTTTGTTATTGAATACAAATCTGCTTGATAGTTTAATGTTATCATAATAAACTAGGCGCTACCGCCGTTTTCATTTAACGAAAGGACTTATAGCTAGAAACGATTTTAAATTATAGATTTGGGTTCCTTACTTGAATATAAAAGCACTTAATTTTAGTTAAATGAAAACGGCGGTAGCTCCTAATCTATAATGTGTACTAAGAAATTTATTCCTGAAAATAACAAGCTCAGCGATTGCCTACTCTTATGGTGCTTACAAATATTTAATGGCATGTGTATACCACTTTAGAGGTATGGAAATAAAAAGGTGGCTGTACCTAGCCTCTTAACCTTCACCAGTCCTCCCTCACTAACCTCATCCTTCACGACAGAATAGATGCAAATGCCGCCTGACAACAAACATCCACGGAAAGGACAAAAACCATTGATAGTCGTTTCAACCACTTGAGTAGTGTGTAAACAAGAGTACAGGGATCCCATCATTGAGTAGCTGCAAATACAAAACCATTATGTCTTCCGACATTGGATAGTGCATACACTCCCAGAAATTTGGTGCCATCAGGGCTCTGATGGCCCTGTAGTACCAATCTGATAAAAAAAATATTATCTCAAGGCATGATTGGTCACATAATTTGTTTTTACTTTGGCCACTGCTAAACGCAAGAGGATCCCTCAAGAGTTTGGAGCTGAAGAGGAGACAACAAAGCCCAAGCTCTGTCAATTACAATCCGCAGAAATATTTTATGATAGAGAATAAGTTGTTTGATTATATTTAATACCTAGTCAACCCGGAGTAGAAATATTAGGTTACTGTGGCTTCACTGGACTAAAGTCAATCACATCTTTCATAGATAATAAGTGTCTGTTAAACTTAACAAATCTAAATTAAAAAATAGATATACATATATTAGGGGGACTGGAATGTAATGTCATTTCTGAGCATATCACTATTTGATTCTCATTTTCAGCTCATTGTGTTCTTCTATGTCATTGCAAAGACATTCTAAGGTTATAGTGACTTCCTTAGTTGCAAATAATTAAATTTAAATTATTTTTGTTGCAATTTTTGTAAACTGGCCAGCCAAATACCACAGAGGCACATATCCGGTATTGCATGCTTTTTGAGTTTTGCAAGGATAGTAATGCAACAGTTGCTACCAAAAACATTTGCGATATTCATCCAAATGCATCAAATGTTCATAAATGCCAAGGTGATTTTTCAAGTTCAAATCAGGTAATTATGATTTTTTCAACTAGTATCATTCAGGAATACCAACAACATTAGACAATAATGTGTTAAGGGCGGAAGCAAATCCGAGTCAGACAATCAAGGAATGGTCAAACAGTCTTAACCAACCTTGGTCGACCATCCAAGAACATTTGCAACAGATTGAGAAACTACCATATGGAACTTATTGCTTCAATGGCACAATACAAAAGCATTTTTTGATTACTTGATCACTGGAGATGAAAAAAGGTCCTATATGATAATCCAAAACGCAATTGCCAGTGACTCTCTCCAAAAAAATCGCCACGAAGTACTGCTAAGCCAGGTTTACACCCTAAAAATGACCTTTTGTGTGTTTGGTGGAGCATTTCCAACGTTCCTCATTTTTAAGTGCTGAAACCTGGACAAACTGTGAATGTAGATCTTTATTGTGAACAATTGGATTGTGTAAATCAATCTTTAACTGAAAATTGGCTAGCGATTGTCAACAGAAAAGGCATTCTGCAATACGAAAATGCAAGATATCACTACCTAAAACGAATTCGGGAAAAAAATTAGTGAATTGAGATGGCAGTCAGTGCCTCATCCGCCATACTCGCCCCATGCTGCATTATTGAATTTCCACTTGTTCGAATTGTTTCAACACTTTCCAAGTGGCAAAATATTTGCAATTTTGAATGATGTCCAAAATTTATTTATCTACTTTACTCAAAAAACAATTGATTTTTATCGATCCCGCATTGACAATTTGCACACTAGATGGCAAAATTTGATGATAATGAGAGTGATTTCATCAGTGATAAAAATAAAAACTCATGTGAAATTCATGTGTTTTAATTTAATGTAAGAAAACGACATTACTTTCCGGTATGCCTAATATAATATATATTTTATCATTATTTATATTACTTTTTCCTAGCTGCTTCTCTTTCTTCTGATACAGCCTGCTCTCTATCTCTCAGAGCCTGTTCACGGGCAGCCATTATCCTTCTAGATGATGCAGCTTCCATCTCACTCAACTCTCGCTCATGGGCCCTTCTCAATTCAGCAAGCTCATCTTGATGGGTCCGAGTCATCCTTTCCAGCTCAGGTTCCAAACCTTTTACTGTCTGTTCCTGTTAACCAAGAAATGTTTTTGGCGACATCAATAAAAGAAGAATGACAAAAACGAAGTCCATGACTAAGTATGAGTGTATTGGCATGATACTGATTGTGCACCAACCTCAGGCTAGCAATATGACATCAAATAGTACCTAACTGTTCAAATAAACAAATATTAAGGAAGTTAGCTGTTTTGAAAGTTAATGACTGTCTTATGGACTAATCATTCCCAAAAATATTTTTAGTTTATTCTGGGAATATAATCATATATTTAATATTTAAAATATCTTTTTATTAGTAGCATCTGTTCCAATCATGTAAGGTGTTGCACTGTGCGTCATTTACTTTATCTAGGGAAAAGATTATACTTCCTTGTAAAGTTTTTTCAAATATAATTTTTAGAAAATTAAAAATTAAACACACCTGTTTGATCTACAATAAGATGAGTTAGCTGTTATATTTCAAAAGTAATGTCTTTGAAAGTAAACTGATCTAAAAATATATAATTTAAGTTGGTTTATTTCATTATTAAAATTTCCAAAGCATAATGACTTGTTCACCTTAATTTTTTTAATTCTTTCGTTCTCCCATTTTTCTCTCCTTAACTTTTCTGCAGCCAGCATTTTTTCCTGCAGTTTTTTCAATTCAACTTCATGCCTTGATTCCATTGAAGCAACTGTTTTATTATGTTTTTCTTCCATTTCCTTCACCACACTTGCACACTGCTCTCCTAACAACCGCTTCTCTTGCAGTAGCTGAAATGCCAATAAATAAATTGTGATGTTTTAAAACAATAATTTATACTTATTTTAAGTTCAAGTAAAAAGTCTTCAATGATCAATGAAATAACTTATCCTAAACAAAGATTACCTGATCAATAAATTTCTGATGTCTTTTTATAATGGAATCAGAATCAGTCTTGTGTTTATTCAGTTTTTCTTGAGTTTCCTTGAGCCTTTCCTGTGCTCTTTCAGACATAACTGTTTTCTCCTCTAGTTCTAAAGAAAGAGCCATCACTCGTTGAGCAAGTTCAGAAGAATCTAATGACAACAACTGTCCCATTCTGCCAGCAGGCAGTGGTTTGACAACATCACTGAAAATGTAAATAAAAATAATCAATTAAAGATAATGTTTGTAAAAAACAATTAATGGGTGAATGCTCAACATCGAGAAGCTTAATGAAATTAAAAAAAAATTTCAACAAATTTTATTTAATGTTTGGTACAGTTCTTTATGGATGCGAAAACTGGCCGCTTATATTAAGGAATGAGCAACGTCTTAAAGTTTTTGAAAATAAAGTATTGTGCAGAATATTCGGACCAAAAAAGGATGAGTCAACCGGAGAATTTAGGCGTTTAGACAACACTGAATTGCGTAAACTGTATCCGGTTAATATGATTAAGTTGAGGAGAATAAAATGGCTAGTAAAATCGCTGGGCTTAAAAAAAAAATGTCTAAAAAGTTAATGACTGGCAATCCTCCGTGGGACAGACCAAAGCAAAGGTAGGAAGATTGTGTTAAGGGTGATCTGGTGGGGTTGGGTTTAGACTGAGCCCAGTTGATGGAAGAATGTGACATCGATTGGTGGTATCAGCATCGAACCTTCAGGTTCACCACAGGCGGGTCTACAGGGAGAGGAGGCTTTCGGGCTGAAGCCCTCCCCCAAAATGATAAAATATAACCATGTTTTACAGAAAAAAATATTAAAATCTATCTCTTAAAGTATTCTTGTTCGTGTAATTATATTGAATAGGACTTCAAGAACCACTTAAACACCATTTATATAGGTAGTTAATTATTTTCTTTTTTTTAAAATTAATTATTGTTATATGTATATGAAAAAAAAATCTTTCGGGCTGAAGCCCCCCAAAATTAAATCCTGGATCCGCTAGTGGGGTTCGCTAAGCCTTATTATTATTATTATTATTAATTATTTTATATAAAATGCACTGCCCCTTGGATGACTGAGATAAAATAAAATGTTAAAAAAACGAATACTGTAAAGTACAAATATCATCAAATATGTTTGCCAGATGATTGTGCCTCTTTCAAAGAACTTTTGAAATGGAACGTGATCTAAAGTCGGATGTGTTAAATCCTTCCACGTTTATGATTCCTCTTCAACTCCTCCGATTTAAAATATAGATGAAAAATACTTAGAAAATTGTACCAAACCAGATTGCAATAATATTGGAACACTTTATACAAAATCAAACATTTTTGTTAAGTTACTACATACTTAAAATTTGTTGACCAAATGTTAATTAATTCTAATGCTTAGACTGACTGTAACATTGTCAAGGAAAAAATTATTTCACTGAATTATGATGAATCATTATTAAGACTTAATTCAAGTTTATGATATTTATTCAACCGAGGAGCAGATATCTTATTACTATAAGCAGATACACTGAAACAATAAGAAATAGTTTGATCCATGTTTTTTTCTTACTTGTGTGGTATCGCTGGTTTAGTTTCTGGTGAATGCATACCATTTCTTGAATCACTTCTGTCCAAATCATCAAGAAATGTCAAAATATCTCTACAGCTGAAATAAATAATCATTTAACAGCCAATTTTAAAATTGTATACATAAATAAAATTAAATTTAGCAGAATAGAAGCTTATTACCTAGCCCCGACAGGAGTCACATTGCTGCAAACAGAATTATTGTTACTTCTGTTAACAGAAAGTGCTTCTAGCTTTACTGAAAAACAATTTAGAATCGATTTTACTGACATTTATTGAGTTACTATATCATAAAATGAAAAAATATAAAGTTTACATGATTCCACTTCTTCTTTTTCCAGAACTTTCAACATTGAAATAATATCATTATAAGTTGTTGATCCGAGAACTTTATCTTGTGCTCCTTCCTGCTATAATAGTCAGATAAGTATAGTTCTGATATAAGAAAATATATGTAATTAACTGTAGGAATAGCATAAATTTAGTTGATATAGATATAAAACAGAATACGTTTTAACATACAGAGAAACATTAGTTTTTATGGTCTACAATAACTATAAAATAAAAAAAATTGAAATGGAAATTAAGGGTACATTTTTTAAGGATGGAAATCTTTTTATTTTTTAAAAATTATACAGTTTGAGACTTCTGTACCAAAACTTAAAAATTAAGTCTTAAAGAATATACAAAACTATTATACTTTCTATGGCTCCATATGGAGATAAAAAGTGGTTGCTTACATTAAAGAATGAACAAAGGCCTAAGGTTTTTGAAAATAAAGTATTGTGCAAAATATTTGGGCTGAAGAAGAATGATTCACCAAGAGAATTAATTTAGATAGGTACATAATGCCAAATTCCATAAACTATCAGATAAATATAATTAAGGTGATAGCTTTGCAGTGAATAAAATGTTGATGTCAAATTATTGGGCTTTGAAGCAAACTAATAGATTAGTGGTCTAATGGTTTCGAAAACAGATAACATTCTAGATGTAGACCTCACCGAAAGTTAAAGAATTGTGTTAAGGTTTATTTTGCAGAGTTGGTTTTGGACAGTAGTGGATGAGTAATACTGGCTCGCAGCCTGTTCTAAGAAAATATAAATCAAGAGATTATCAGAAAACAATTTTACAATTTTTAATGCATTTAGAAACCACATTTTCCCTTATATGATATTGCTTAAGGTTGTATTTGGGTTTCTGTTTCTTTAAGTTTTGTCTCATGAGTTAAAACAAATTGATTGATATAATTATTTTTGCTTTTTAAATAAACATCCCTTCGAACAGATGGTCATATTACAAAGAGGTCACGTTCCGGTATTCTTCTTCAGATATCAGCAACTTTTATTATTTGTACTACAAAATACAATTAATAAAGTTAGGTAATACAACTATGTCATGTGAATATGTAAAATACAAATTTCTTGACGGCACGACCCCTGAAAGAGGCCATTCACCAGGATTGGTAGACACTATGGGGCAATAGCCCTCCAAATAAATGAAAGGTGATAAAAAGGAAGTGAAGCCATGGAGTAGTTCCAGTCGCAGTAAACTCAGAGAGGAAGTTGTCCTTACGCGACTAAGAATAGGTCATACCAGGTTTTCACACCTTCACTTAATTACGAAAGAAAACCCGCCCATTTGTCAGAAGTGTGGAGAGAGAATGGTAGTAGTCCATATCTTCGAGAGTTGTGCCTTTTACATTAGATAATTAAACATAAGGTATTCCCCTTACTAGCAATACAAGCAAATACACTGGCTGCTTTGGGAAATGATAAAAAAATCTTAGGCAAAATCATATGTTTTCTCTCTGAAGAAGGAATCCTAAAAAATCTCTGAACCTCACACGCAGCACTTCCCACCTCTTTTTTTTTTTTTTTTTACCATTTCTTTTTTCTCCTCACCATTTTTTTTTTCTTCTTTTCTACCTAACGTGCGAACTTTAAATAACTAAACTTTAATAACCATAAACAACTTTTAACCTTGTGCATTTTAGATTTTTTAAATTTTATCCAATTCTTAATATTCATAACCAAAAGATGTAATAACATATAATTTTAATTAACAGCGTTGATGACCAACAGGTTTTATGCCTTTACTATACAACCAACCAACTAAAGCAGCTGGGGGCTGATTATTATGGTAGAGGACTGCCTAATGATCAACGATTCTTGCAGCTTAAATTAAGAAAATGTTCTTTAAGATGATTACAAAAGTTATTTGTCAAATTCACTTTTTTTGGGAGCACTATATAGACAGCATTATTATTATTCAAGTAGCTTTTTATAACATTCTAATTTTTAGTGTTTACAGCTAGCTTCTCAAGTAGTAATAAGGTTTATATTCAAGCAGTCACCTGACATTCTAAAAGCTGAAATTGACAAGGGATCAGAAATTAAAAAAGGATATTAATTTCAATTATGTTAAGACAACAAATAAACAACATTTCCTCAGCAACTAATGAATTTAAGTCTAATTAGTCAAAGGAAGAAATTTACTGAAGTGAAATGTATAAAGGCAAAAAGAAGAAAAGTAAGTTTTTATTCTAGGACGTTTAATCCAAAAATAAGAATAACAAAAATGGATAATAGCAATTACATTTATTGAGATTTGTCTGACAGTTAATGGCAGGCAAATAAAAATTAGATTAAAAAGTTATGTAACATTAAAATAAAAGACTAGTATAATTAAACATAAGAAATTATAGGTAAGTAAATGTCCGTAAAAGTAGTACATAAATGTATTTATAATTTTGCACAAGTAAGCAATATAAATAATAACAACAAAATAACCTGAGAATAAGATTGGCAACACTAAAATATGAGTATTTAATTCATATATATATTCGGAAGATTGATAGCTGAGGAAATAGAAAAAAAATTGGTGTTTACATGAAGTTAAAGATGAGTTTTTGCATATGAAGGTGGATAAAGAATTTCCAAACAAGACAGCACACATTACAAAGGATTTTTCAAAGTAAACAATTCTATGAGAAGGAATATACAGAATTGTGGGTTGGGATCTCCTGTGGTTGATTGTGGGTTGTTGATGAAATGGAGGGAGGAACAAAGAGTAAACAAATCAAGAAGGTAAGATGGTTTTTTTTGGGTTGTAAAGATTCAAAAAAGAAATATACCTAACAGTTTTTAGGATAATTTGAAAAATGTGGTTATTACATGACAGGTATTGACCAAAAATTACCCCAAAGTTGCTAATGGAAGAGAGAAGGTAGACGATTAAGGTAGAGTAGGGGAAGATAAAAAATGGAATTAAGAAGCCTCTATGATAATAGCTTTGGTCTTCACAACATTCATCCTCACATCATTGCAAACTGCCCATGCCTTGATATAGTCTATTTTATCTTGAAGCCTTCGAGTGATCTCTAACATCTGAGTAGGACAAAAGCACTGGTAGATTTGGATGTCATCAGCATATAAGTGGTATTGTCAATGGTGAAAGAAGAAAGAACACTTATAAAAATGCACAGATGCATACAAATTTATCAAAATAAAATTTATACTGATTTTATGAAAACAAATTAGGTATTAAAAAAAAGGTGTCCAATTTGAGACTCTCTAAAAGTATGTATTTGTTACCTTTCCAACTGCTATTTACAACTCTAGTGGCCACATAGCAATATCTGTCTAAAGTAGAGTACCAACTACATCAGCCTACAGGAGGAAACTTACTACACACGGTAAGAGTATGATAACCTTGCATTGGTAAGTGTACTAGCCTACATTTAAGTTGTTATTTGACAGCTAGAGAAGGTAATGTGAAGCATATAAATCTAAAAAGCTATATATAAATAAAAAATCAAAAGTAAAATCTAAAAAAAATTCATCATGATTGTAGCCAGCAATCCATATCAATTGATGGTTATCTATTACAGGTGTGATAATTGGATTGGGTTGTACGGAAAATGTTACAGGATTTTGGTTTAAAAAGAAAGATTTACACTGTTTTAATTAATCAAAATAGTCTCCACTACTATCAATACATTTCTGCCAACGTGTTGGCAACTTTTCCATTGCTTCGGAATAAAATTTCCCATCTTTAGAATTGATAAACTCCAAAAACGCATTTTCTAATTCCCTTTGTCCATTACATTTTTTGTCTCATAAGTAGTGGTCCAGGTGTCTAAAATAATGATAATCCATAGGCATGAGTTCTAAACAGTAGGGCGGATGTGGTAGAATTTTATATCCAAGCTCCAACAAACAGTTTTTGTGACATCACACGTAAGACATGTGGTCAGGCGTTGTCATGCAACCAAATGGGCCCCTTCTGATTGACCAAAGATGGCTACATTACTGCCAATTTCTGATGAATTGCATTAATTTGGTTGCAATACAATTTGTCATGGATGGTTTCTGCAGAATTTAAGAAGCTGTAATGTATCAAACCAAATGAAGCTCACCAACCAGTAACCATCACCTTTTTTTTGATGAGTTGGGGGCTTTGGAAAATGTTCTGCTGTTTTTTATCTTTCCAATTGCCTTGAGGTAGTCACCGAAGGTCGATTTGCCAAGGTTAAGTTTCCCTGCAAGTTCTCGAACAGTTATTCTGAGGTTTTCTTCCTCCAAAGCCCGCAGAACATCAATGGAGGAAGTTTTTCCATGACCTTCTTCATCTTCAAGGTTGAAGTACTCCTCCTAAATTTTTTTGAACCACCGTTGAACAGTACATTCATTAATGCTGCTCTCACCCCAGACTTGATTGATGTTTCTGGCCATCTGGGCTCCATTTCGGCCGAGTTTAAACTTGTAAAACAAAATTTTACAAAAATCGTGCGTTAACATTTTAGTAAAGACTGAATTATTTCTTAGCAGCAAAATGCTACAGAGATAAAAAAAAATTATCACTTAGAAGAGGTTTAATAAGGATTGACATTCATACAAATGAATAATCCAGTAAACGTAAACAGTTTGTTATAATAATAATAATAATAATAACAATGCTTTATTTATTCTGTGACGAGTCCCTTTAGAATAATACAGAGAGACAAAAATGTGGGCTAAGGAGCCTCAGAGATACATAAACAAGAATATAGTTTGATTAAATAGTAAAAAAAAAAAAAAATAAATAAATTTTAAAAAATAATAAGAGAAATTATAAGTTACTTTCTAATTTACATCAGTTAATAATAAAAAATAAACATGAAGTAAAAATAATAAAGAACAATCTAATAATTTATATACATATTTACAGTAGTAACTATTTACAATTTTATGAGGACTGGATGGATAAGAAATGATTAAACAGTTGGGATTTAAAGGTAGGAAAGGTTTTGGATTGACGGATGTGGGGAGGGATGGAGTGACATAGGGAAGAGGATCGAATAATAAAAGATTTATCGAAAGCAGTGGTTCAGTGAGCCATTATATATAAATCTGAAGACCGGGAACGGGTATTGTGGGAGTGGACAGAGGATTTAAATTGAAGGAGCTCGGCGATGTATGAAGGACGGCGGGAGTGAATTACTTGGAAGAGGAAGGATGCCTTGTTATATAGCGGGGTATTTTAAAGAAAATTCTAAATCCTGCATTATTTACTGGACAACCCAATAATTTCTCAATATTATGATATTCTATGATTAAATATTGTATTAAACTATATTAATACTGATGAAAAAATAAATGTACAAATGTTTAACAAACAGTAAATATCAGGATTTATAGCAAGAAATAAAAAAAACTTACTGTAACTTCAGTACTGTTTCCCATCCAGTTCAAGATATCTTCATTGTTAAGACCAGTTCTCTGTTCATCTCCATTCATAGGTAGTCTGAAGTTTTCTCTTTCTTGGGTACCTGAGTCAGAGTAATTTTGTCCTTGGTTTCCAGTCTCAACAGTTTTTGTGACATTCTTACTAAAATTTTGAGAATCAGAAATTTGGTTTTCATTTACAAAAGATGAATTCGAACTTTCAACAAACCCATTCTTTCTTTCTATCTCACTATCTAAATTTTCATGAATAGTAACTCTTTTTTTTTGATTACACAAATTAGGTCCATCATAAAATTGGTTCAGAGACTGACCAACTTTTGAGTTCATAAATTCCCTGTCATTATTACCATTACCATTTTTGTTGGAGTAATTGGAAGCAGTTCCATTTAATTTAACTTGTGGGACATCTTCACTTTCTTCAATAGTTTCCATTGTATGTGTTTTTGGCAATCTCTTATTAGAATCAAATCTTGGGCTTTCATAAGCATCAAAATGTAATGGAAAAGAAAGTGTGACTTGGGTTTCTGGAGTTCGAGAAGAATCATGAAAGTCATTTAAATTTTCAGAAGACTTACTTAATTTTAATTTGGGAGTTATCAGGCTATTTAACTTCATCTTGCCTGTATTCATTTCTAGTACCTTGTCTTTATATGCGTCTTGGATTGATTCTGGAAACCATCTCTGAAATTTTATATTTATTATATCGTCCATAGATTTGTGATCACGCTTCGGTAAAAGGCCTGGGGGTATGGGTGGTTTGGCAGCTAGTCCTGGTTCCAATTTCCCATTAGAACGAAGAACTTCATTTAAACTTGGAACAGGACTTGGTGTTATAGATGTTTCAGAATCTATACCATCCTCAATGGAAGAATTATCCAAAAGATTGTTCATAGAGCCAGTCCCTTTTCCTGTAACATATTTTTGGATTAAAAATTATTAATTAAACAAATATGAAAAGTGCTTCACTAATATTTTAATTTCTGGTGTTTCCAATAAATGAGAAATGAATATCTAGCAAACAAAATGATTTTAACAAACAGTGAAAATAAATCTTAAACAGTAAAAATAAATCTATCAAAAATATTTTTACTGTTCTGTAATAATCCTATTTTTCTTTCTCTTTCTCTCTATTAAATTAGATTTTTAAAAAAGAATCAATAGGAAAATAAATAGGCAACAAATTAATTGAGCTAGATTATCAAATTTTAGAATCACTGAAAATATATTCTCAAAAATTATCATAAAAACTAAATGAATTACTCCATCAACTACTTAGTTTTGGTTGGAAATGGAAGCAGGGCTTGAGATCAATTCCAACAAATCAACTTTAATTAATGATGAGAATAAATGTTGATAACAAAATTAGTCTCAGCAATAATGAACTTCACTGGATTGTGAAGATAGAACTGATATGAACTTACTTCATATAGGGACATATTCATGATATAAATGGAACAACAAAAATAAGTTTATCTATATTCATGTCGCAAAAATATTTAAAAAACTTCATTACAGTGCATTTTACAATTACAATAAACTATTAAATTTTGATGTATCCATAATCTGTTCAGCTACCATTGAATGCTACACCAGGCATACAAATATAAAGACCATCTCTTACCACATTGTAATCCAGAACTAAAATGAAAAAAACTTTCACATTCACAAATATGATCACAGATTCTTATTTTCCTATGTAATGCATTTATTTATATTGTCGAATGCAAGAATAATAAACGTTTTATAACTAGTTAAATAATAATAAAAATTAAATAAAATCACTGAAACCCAACCTATCAAAAACAAAAGAGCAAACTATAGAACTCATAAATTAAAATGAATCAACGCTCTTTCTATGTTATGTTAAACCTATTCAGTTAAATTACTTTTTATTTACATATATTAACATAAAATAAAAATTAATTTACAGATGATGTCACTTCGAACAGTAAGAAATGTTAAATAAATAATAAAAAAATAATAAATAAGAAAAAAAATTATCTATTATGCAAAGGAGAACGAAGAAAAAAATGTTTCAACCAGCCAAATACAATTAACTAGTATGTGTTGATATCATAAGATAAAGTTAAGTTAGTTTATTTTAACTTGGTGATTACAATTGTAATAGCACTCTATCAGAGTGCTACAAATAGGTAGATTCTCTACAAGCCTTTTCATCCCATTGTATTTCTCTGTATAATAAAAAAAATAATATATTTTTGCCTTAATATTTAATATGCATCAGTGACATCAAAATATATGGGGAGGATAAGATATATCATTACAATCTGTACACCACTTTTTATTTTCATTAAAGTTAAAAAATCTTAAATAAATAATAATGAAGAACTGTAAAGAATAGGCTGAAATAAAAATATTTATAAAGGAGAGATAGTGGCATTTTTTAAATTTAAATTTCACAAAAAGTTTGAAATTATTGTTATCATGAGCATAAAAACTTTCCAAAAAAATAATCATACTTTTTGAATGCCTTCTGTCACCACTTCTTTCAAACTTAGCAGCAATTTTTCTTCTTCCTCTAGTGACATGATCAGCTGACTGAGGTCTGGTCCAAGGTGGAGTCTTTCGATGCTTCTCCTTAAAAAAATTATAGAGATTAAAAAACTTGAAGTATGGTCTAAGATTTACATACTTTGAGTATCTACTTTATCTACTTCAATAATGAAACAGTTGATAAATTCAATTAAGACAATGTTAAAATTAACACTTTAAACTATAATTACCTTGTATGGAAAAGTAGGAGTAGCTGACATTGATCTAAAGTTAGGTTCAAGTCTTGAGGATGATCGAGAACAAACTGGACTAGGTCTTCTCTGTAATGCAATCTTCAAACAAAAATGTTGAATAGAACTGAAATAAACTATTAAAATATTTGATTAAACAGAAACAGTGTCACCTGTGTTCCTTTCAGTCTGAAATCTAACAAATTATTTTCTTCGTTTTGCTTCCTTTCCTTAGCGTCAGCTAATGGCATTTTACATTGACTTTACATCGCGAATCGTTATCCTAGAGAGTTCGCTAGGAAATTTTCTTTAATAATATATTATCCATATTACTTTTCTGTTGGGTCTTAGGTGGTATGGTTGCTTGGCACCCGTGTTTATAAACATAATCAATCATTTAACATAACTTCTCTACATTAATAGTTTTATACAATTAACAATGTTAAAACTTATGGTGAAATTATTTTCACAACTTTGAACAGGAAGGAAATTTAAATTTCCCTTCCTTCCTTATTTGACGGATATTAGTGTTCAGTTCATAAGGCATCATATGACTTATTAGAGATTATTTGTCTTAAAAAAATTACAGTATCTTATTTTTAAACAATATGAAATATATTTTAGTTGTAAAATAAACAGTAAACTAATAAATACATATTTACTTTATACAAAAAATATTTTATATAAACATCGACATTTAAAAATAACTTTAGATCAATGATATCTAAACTAAACATTGGAAGAAAATTATGTATCATAAAAAATATAAAATATGAATTAAATAACATATTACTGTAACATTTTATTATGTTTTTTAGCAAAGTTCATTTGTCTACATTGCATACATTGGTGAAATGAATGGAGGAGGTAATGCACTGTTCCCCAGTCTTTGTTTACCGCGCGGTAAAAAGTGGTAGAGTTAATGGGACCGTGTTAAATACTTTATCAGTTGTTTATAGTATTATTTTTCTGATGATTATATGATGGATGTGTTAGAATTTAGTGACATAACTGCCGAGATAAAGGGTGCTTTGGTAACTTTTTATTCTAAATAACTTATTTTTTATATTGAGACTGCCATGTAGTAATATTATTTATAAAATATATTTTAGTGCCCTGGACGGCTAAAATTAACTGATCAGAATATCAGTTTTAAAAATAACAGAACAGGTAAAGTTGATCAACTTGTTGCTACTGACTTAGAACTTTGTAACTGGCAGAAGTTAGTTGGGACCTGGGGTCTTAGGCTATTTCTAAAAAATGGTTCTCTGCACAGATATACAGGATTTAAAGAATCTGTAAGTATTGACAATATAGTGATATGTTCTATGTTAGTTAATCATTTTAATTACTTAATTCCCGTTTTTCTTTACTTGTTTTTGTAATATTTGGTTTTAAAATATAGCTTCACCATTCCATATGACCTTGGTTCACCTATATATTTACTCAGTCTTTCTTATCAAGCAATTGCTTTGTTCAATTTTCAAAGTAGAAATTTGTGTTTAAATATATTTATTTAATAGTATATCATTTTAATAAGCTACATATATAATTATAAAAATTATCGCACCAGAATTAGGACTCAATGGGTAGGTTTGAGATAGAAACAAAAAAAATTGATGCAGTACCTAAACTGATGAACTGATTTTAATGAAAGATGGCCCAAGTCTTCTCCTTGAAGAACTTTAAATTTATGTCTATAAGCTCTAAACATCTAAACTTCACCCAAAACAAGCCGGACAAAACAATTACCGTGTTAACGTTGGATATCCGAAAAAAACAAAAAAGTATTAACTTTTTTGTTGATATTGTATGTTCATTTGAAAGTATACTAAATTACCTAAAAAATCATTAAAATCGGACGATTTGGTAAAAAGATACGTTGTTTCAAATATTTAAGAAATGTAAGGCAAGAACTTACTAGACAATATAGCCAACTTTCACATTTTCTGGACTTAACTTATGAAACAATTGACTGATCTACAACACCTTACTGAGACCAATATAGACATATGGAGCAGAACTTTGGAGTTCGGCAAAACAAACACATATAAACAAAATACAAACAGCACAATCGAAAATTTTATGAAAAATTGTTAACTCATCTTGGTACATTTCAAATACATAACGACTTAAAAATCCCAACAGTAAAATCCTACATCCATGACAAATACACTACATTTCATTCTTCAACCCAAAATTACTGCATTCCTCTGGTTCTTCCTATCTCCTGGTCCCTGTTACCTGAACAACACAGATCAAGAAGAAAATGGCCAAGACACCTACTATATCAATAAAAACAAAATCAAGCAAATACACCAAGACAGTATTAATACAACAAATTTGCTAGATGCACAGCCGCGTAGGTGCGAATTGCATAGAATATAAATAAATAAAGAAATGTTCTAAAGCTGACCATTTGTTTTGTCTTAAAGAAACTGTATGATGGATCTTTGTAATTACTGGATGGATTTCGATGAAAGTTTATTTATTGCTTTGGAAATTTAAACTTCTTCTAAATATGTCCTGACCCTTAAAAGGGAGAAAGTCCACCCTTTTTGCGTTATTTGCAGATGCAATTTTGAATTCATCAAAACTCCTCAGGTCCTTTTTCGAGGAAATATGTAAAATAAATAAATATTTAGTGTTTCATAGAGAATACCTTGGGAAAGTTTTTATTAATACTGTTATTGCTGTTTTAGTGCTGTAGTCCATAGAGAAACTGCTTTTTCTGCCTCCATCTTGAAACAAAATGCGGCTGGTGATGAGGTCCCTCAAAGGCACCTCTCTAAAACCAACTTAATATCTTCCAGCAATGTGCAATACTTTAAAAACAGGAGAAAACGTTCTTACATTCGGAAATTTTGATGAAATTTTTCCAAAGTTTAATAGTATTGTTCTGCCTGGGAACCACCTCTATATACCGAATTCCAGCTTATTCGATCAAATAGTGGCCTTTGGGGAAGCCGAATCATAGTGGGGAAAAAAATATATATGTATATATATAAATAAATCAATAAATAATGGATATCTCTAAAAATTGCAGAATTCTTATCTAGGGGTTCCAAAACGGAAAGAAACTTTTGATGGACTTTTGATATAGTGCAAATAGTCTATTATTTCTGAAGGAAATTAGACAAAAATTACACTAATGTAAAGAGTATTGCCAATAATAAAAATACTGACTGTATATTGTGTTCATTCTGAAATTAAGATTGAAAGTCTTGTTATTTGTTTTGATGTTCTGAAACTAAATATTTTGAACAATATGATTTAACTACTATATAAAAACACACAGTATTCATTTTTGTTTAAAATGGAACATATGGCATACATAAATGGGTACCGTTTCACAAATGTCACTCCAATGATGGATGTGCAGATCACATAATCACACCGTAAATGAAATTCTGATAATAGTCCTAAATTGACAACTATGTAACCCTCTCCTGCTTTGACTATTGTACTTTCTCATCCAAAGGAGTCTTTTTCAGTTAAGATTGGCTCATGAATTAGTTTTAATTTTTAATTAATCATGACTTTTGATTTCTGCTTGTTTAAAAAAAAAATGAACACTCTCCCAATGGGTCTTTTGTCTTAGTTGAGGTTGGGGCCTTACAAAGGGAATAGGTTGCTCCTTCCTGCCTACTTTCTGACACATTCTTCATTTTCGGAATTACTCAAGATTATACAACCATCCGACATGTTGGAGTGACAAATGTAATGTAGAACACATTGATGTTTTACATGTTTATAATTATGTACGTATTTTTAGATTTCCCCTCATCCTAATTTTTGTTAATCTGGACTAATTATTGCTAAAGTCAGTTTAGGAAGATAAGAACAAAAAAGGCTTTCAAAATTCGAAGTACTGTATAACATTGTATTTTTCACAAGTCATTCTTGGCTCTGACCATCCAATGTTTATCGGAGGAATCATTAATCTTCAATTTAGTTCCATCTGCATTCTATCTTGATTATTTTATGGAAGTTGTATCTATTTATATTGTGTGCAGACGTTACTAGGTCAATGTTTTTGAATTTCAGCCCTGTTTCAATTTTCAAACGGCAATATAATGCAATTCTGAAACTATAATATCTTGTCATTTGACAGCACTTTGGTTAAACCATCTCATGTCGCTAGAACCCAAGATGGTTAAAGTTGGGATGTTATACATCTTCTTAAGTATGCAAAAGTCATTGGTTTGATTTAATTTTTAATATTAATGCATTGAAAGCTTATTTAACTCTGTTACAAAATTAAATTAGTGTTTCATTTATTAATATTATTATTTAATGAAAAATAAAGAGAATAGTTGAATAAAAGTAACAAATTTTTATCAGTCCCTCATTTGATATCATATTTATCTGGTTAATTTTTTAGCAGACAAATCGGTGGCTAAAAGTTTAATATTTTTTTAGTTCGTTAAATTTTTAACCGACTATACTCCAACTTCAATTTTAAATGAGCTCACTAATTTCTTTTACAGTTATTTTTTAATTTTTTGCTTGATTATTTATGCAAACAGTATTGCTGTTTATGCAATTATAGGGAGGTTCTATTTTTTATGAGTTACTGTGATTGGCCCCCTCATTTTTTCTAGCTTTTATCTATGTTGTTTACTTTATCTTGCTTAGTGATTATACATTTTCATTAAACAGTATTATGTTTGTATACAGGAAGTTGATAAAGTTGCAAAGTTTTTTAAATCAAAATATTCTCATGATCTTTCTGAAAAAGAGCTCAGTGTCAAAGGATGGAATTGGGGAACTGCTAAATTTGCCGGATCCATTCTAAGTTATGATGTCAATAATTTAACAGCCTTTGAAATACCTCTTAGCAATGTTAGTCAGTGTACAACTGGTAAAAATGAAGTTACTGTGGAATTTCATCAAGTAAGCTATATCCATTTTGTTTAATTTTTAACTGTTTTCATTTCAGAGTTCATGTTATGACCTTTTTTTTTTATTTGTTATTTAGAATGATGAAGCTCCAGTGAGCTTAATGGAAATAAGATTCCATATCCCACCATCTGAAAATGCAGGTGATGATCCAGTCGATGCATTCCACAGTCAAGTTATGCAAAAAGCCAGTGTCATATCTGTATCTGGTGATGCAATTGCCATATTTAGAGAAATTTACTGTCTTACGCCTAGGTAATTTTTATTAAGTATTTCAATAATTGTATTTTCTTTATAGTTATTGGTTAGTTATTCATTAATTTTTTCAGTACTTGTGAACAATCCGGTCGGGACGAAAACTCCCTTCTTATTTTATCTTACGTCACATAACCTCCCTTCTTATCTCGTGTAAGCTGTTGTTATCCTTCTGTTACATGTGAGTTATTCCATTGTTTATTGTTGAAATGGATATTATACACTTTGGGAATTGCCATCTTCAGAAGGAGAAACTATCAAATATTTTCAAAAGGCCGGGATAATTCCAAAGGTGAAATTCTGTGAAGAAGGTCGTGAACTGAAATTTGACAGTAAGACCAAATGGAGATGCTTTCGTAGCTGTTGTAACAAAAGTGTATCTATAAGAAAAGGAACGTGGTTAGAGGGGTCGAAGATTACCTTTTCAACGGCTTTAAAATTTATTTATTGATGCTCTCATAATTTAACAACAATAGAGATGGGCAAAGAGCAGCTGAAACTATTGAATAAAAGTGTGATAATGTGGACCAAATTTTTAAGAGAGGTTTGTGCTCATAACATGTTATGCAGGTCAACTAAAACAATTGGAGGGCCTGGCAAAGTTGTTGAAGCAGACGAGAGTCTTTTTTCTAAAAGAAAAAATCATGTTGGGAGTGTTCTCCCTGAACAATTGATGTTTGGTGGAGTTTGCCGAGAAAGACGAGTGTTTCATCGTAAAAATAAAGGACGGAATGGCAAGAACTTTATTAGAATGTATTAAAAATAATATAGAAGTGGGAAGCACCATTTATTCTGACTATTAAAAAAGATACAACCCCAACAACTTATATATATTTCATATATATGTTGTAAAATAAAAGTGCTTGTTATGATTACATTTGTTTTTGTCTATTTTAATTTCCATAAATATGAATATAAAGATAGGGATTATCAATGCCTTATCAGAATTATCAGTGTTCAGGTTATAAACATTGACAGATAGCAATTCATCCCGACTGGATTGTTCACAAGTACCTTTTTTCTTAACATTAATATAACATAAGATGGTACAAAATTGGAATTTAAGTAAGAGAGGTGGGTAAAAGCAGCTTAATTGGAATTATGTGGGAATAATAATTTGGCCTATAGTGAGCCTCTAAATGAAAGAATAGCAGAAGAGGCAATGTAATACCCACTGGATATTGGCCATCATTCATATATCTTCTAGCTACATTCTTTTTTGTCAACACTTAAAATATGTAATATATTGACATATGTAATTTTCTTAACTGTTTTATAATTATTTTTCATCTTTAAAAGTCAATATTTTTATTTTATTGCAGAGGTCGTTATGATATCAAAATATTTCAGTCTTTTTTTCAACTTCATGGTAAAACATTTGATTACAAAATTCCAATGTCAACTGTTCTGAGACTATTTGTTTTACCCCATAAAGATGGCAGACAGAATTATTTTGTGGTAAGCTTATTTTATTGTCTTTAGTATTATTTTTTGTAATTTTTGACATTATTAATATTTATTTTTAATATTTTAATCTGAAGAGTTGGGAATTGCTGTGGAGAATACCAGATTTGGTTGCCTAACTTAGTTTTGCAGACTCTTATACCCATCCAACTTCCACGATTCGTTATTATTGTTGTATTTCTTTTAGTTTTATTTTCTTTCTTGGAGCCAAGAAGGGTTTAATTTGTACTTGATAAAATTAGGGTGGTAATCAAGATGTCTTAATGGTTTTATTTTCTACACTCTACATCTAATCAAGGCCATCACTAAGATTTTTTTTCCTTGAAATTTTTCCCTGATCCTTTTCTCCTGACATATTCTGAGTCTTACTTGTAGTGGACAGTCCTTTTATTTATAACACTGCATGGTTTATATATATATATATATACAATGTATATATATCCACTACAAGTAAGACTCAGAATATGTCAGGAGAAAAGGATCAGGGAAAAATTTCAAGGAAAAAAAATCTTAGTGATGTCCTTGATTAGATGTAGAGTGTAGAAAATAAAACCATATATATATATATATATATATATATAAATACCATGCAATATAATATATATATATATATATATATATATAAACATAAATAAAATATATATATATATATATAGTCTCTTAGGTTGTCCAACAAGTTTTCTGATATGCTTTGATCCATTTATACTTATACTTTCAAGAGTTCTATCTCATCTTTGTCACTTCGGATGTGCACGATCTGTCTCACTATTTTTTCCATAAGATTTCATCAATTCTAATTAACAAAAATGGTTGATGTCTCCCTTTTGTCGAGGAAATTTTTCTATCTCAGTATATGTGTCTATTTTTGTTTTGAGACCAGCTTTTTATTGTAAATAAAGTACTATCTATTATCAATTTAATATTTTTATATAATAATGAATAATTATAAAGTTATACTAATACGTTTGTTAAAATTGTAGGTTAGTCTGGATCCACCTATAAAACAAGGTCAAACAAGATATCATTATTTGGTGTTTCTTTTTGCTCAAGATGAAGACACTTCACTCGAACTTCCTTTTTCTGAGTATGCATAACATTTCATATTTCTCACAGATTTAATTCATGTTGTGGCAGAGTTATTTTCAGTTTATTTTAAATTTATCTTGTCAAGGTTTACTGTATTTTGATGTTTATTAAATAACTCATTTTATTATAACTTTATTGTAACATTTTAATTAATAGTACATTCTAATGTTGTTATCTTTTTAGGCAGCATTTATTAACAACAATATAAATTTAAACAATTACAACTTAAATTATTATTTACAACAAATCTTTACTGGTAATTAGGAATGGACTGTTCCAAGTGGAATGCATTCCACCACTGGAACGGTTCGGAACGGAATAAGACCCTCGGAAACTTCATTCCACAGGAATGTAATCTAAGAATATTAACGTCTTTAGGTTTCGATTTGTAAATGTTCAGCAGAAAAGTCAAGTAGATACAAAAGTGATTTATAGCAATTAAGGTTAGTGTGCTGATTGCCACCAAAGTGGATTAAGAGATAGTCTAATATGTTTTTAGCTTCAAAAGTGAGCCATAACAACTGAATTCTTCCTACCGTCTTAGGTTTTCCTGGCATCCTTCCTCTTTCAAGTCATCCAATCCCACCGACCTTCATACATTTCCGAGCTCCTCCAATTCAAATCCTCTGTTTGCTCCCGCAATACTCGTTCCAGGTCTTCTGATTTATACATAAGGGCTCACCGAACCGCTGCTTTCGACAGATCGTTCATTATCCGATCCTCATCCCTATGGAACTCCTTCCCTTCCCACATCCGTCAATCCAATACCCTTCCTACCTTTAAATCTTACCTGTTCAATCATTTCTTATCCATCCAATCCCCATAGAATTGTAAATATACCACTGTAAATATGTATATAAATTATTAGATCGTTCTTCATTATTTTTACTTTATTTTTAATTTTTTATTATTACCTTCTTTAAGTTAGAAAGTAACTTATAATTTTTTATTATGACTATTTCATTACTCAGCATTTTTTTTTTTTATGTATCTCTGAGGCTCCTTAGCTCACATTTCTGTCCTGTATTATTCTAAAGGGGCTTGTCCCAGAATAAATAATAAGTAATTATTAAATTGAATTTAGTGTTTGATTAAATATAGAGAAACATAATTTAATAAAATATAATAAGATCTAACCATAATTTTAAGATAGAAATTTGCAAATTGTAAAAATATTAAGCTATTAAAATAATAATAAACTAATAATAAAAAAATTAAATAAACATTTTAATCCAATTTTATTATTATTAAGGCCTATGATAAATATGTGGTTCTGTTGTGCAAATGAAATTTGTCATATAAAATTTTATATTTGGTTTTAGAGTGCTACCATTGGGTAGTTACTCAGCAAGTGTATTCATGTCATTATATCAATTATGTCCAAATTTACTTGATGTATTTATGTAATACAGTTGTAAATGTCATAAAGAAATAAAAAAAAAAAAAAAGAAAAAACAAATTTGGTTTATTTGGATTTAGATCTTGCAAGAATCAGGGAACATTGGTAATCCTGGTTAGAAGCTCCCCTACGCTGAATGGCACTACTGGGTGATGCAAAAGAATTTAAAAACCTAAAATTAAGCATTTTATTTTTTTTAGCTACCAATATAACTCATGAGAGACATCAATACTGTTTAAATATTTTAAAATTAAAAAAAAAAATGTATTACATTTTGACTTTTTTTATCATTATTTTATTTTTAAGTCTTACTACAACGACAGAACGAAGAAGAAACAGATCTAACAGTCTCGTTAGAGGTAATAAAAATTTCTTGAACCGGTTTGACGAAACCATTCCACCTCTGGATGATTCTATCCGGAACGGTCTTTCTCGTTCTGATTGGCCTTCAATTCCACCCTAGAATGGTTCAGAATGGCTCCACCTGGTTTTTATTATGGTTACAAATCGGCATTAAGAATAATTGTAATTATATAAATTGGCAGTAAGGCGCGATGCATTTGTAAATTGCAGTTATTTGAGCAATGAGTATTAAAATTCAAAGAAGAGTTGTATAATTTGTAAAATTGGGATTGGGGTCTGTTTTGAGAAAGCATTTCTCCTAGAATTTGATGTTTTTTTTTTTTTTATAAAATTTAATTTAGTTTTGTCAGATTTGATTATTAGGTTCATAGAATTGATTAAAGGCAAGCAGAAAAAGCAAATTTCTTCAGGTTGAAGTTCAAATAATGCTTATTGAATTTATTAATTTTCTAAATTAATCTAGTGCTTCTATTCAACTTAAAAATAGTCAAGGTGTTACTAATATGAAGGAAAAAAGGATTTTATCTGCTAACTGAAAAGTATGAACATTATTTCTCATTTATACTAAAGAATTGACAAATCACTTTCTTTACCATTCTGCGAACCCTCTTCATAGTGAATTAATTATATTCAACTGAAAAGTGGATATCTTCTAGTAATTTTAAATGTTAATGTAAATGTTTTTTTACTGGTAATTTTGTTCTTATTAATACTATTAATATTTTTCATATTGATTCTGTTAAATTTAAGGATTATATTTCTAATTACTATAGGGAGGAGTTAAAAGAAAAATATGAAGATAAATTAAGCAAAGAACTTTCAGGGCCTACCTATGATGTTATTAGTCGCATCATGAAGGTTTTAGTTAACAGAAAAATTACTGTACCTGGAGGATTTGTGGGGTAGGTTTCCTTTCCTTTTTTGTGCTATAATTTATTAATTCATTGACTTGTATTAATACTCTAATTCATCTACTTGTTTTAGGCACTCTGGTACACCGGCTGTTGGATGTTCTTATAAAGCAGCAGCAGGTTATTTATACCCATTAGAAAGAGGGTTCATATACATTCATAAGCCTCCGATTCATATCCGATTTGAAGAAATAGCCAGTGTCAATTTCGCTCGAAGTGGTGGAAGTACTAGGTATTATTTATAACTATTTTTTAGGATAGTAATTTCCTTTTTATTTACTTACAGTTGATTTATTTATAATATTTTTATGGTTATTTTATTTTTCTTGTTTCTCTTTTTTAGTATTTTTTTTTTATTTACATAGTTGTAAATGTTCATAAATGGGAGGCGGTATAGCAGAGTAGTTAGAGTGGTGTACTAGTAAAGTTATTATTATTAGATTGAATCCTGGCCCCTTCTTCCCAGTACGGTAGGACCCCGTAGGAAGTTAAACCATAAGCCCTTAATTAGGGGAGGGCTGAAAGTTGAAAAAATTCTTATAAAAACAGGCTACTTAATATATAATATGCATATTTTATTCATCTAATGTGGAAGTTTTGTTATTTAGAAAGAAATTATGTTCTGTCTAAATCAAGTTTTTCTTTAAAAACCTAATAAAAGAAGTAAATAAAATTTGATTCACTATAAAATATAAAACTTTATGTCCTATAAGTTTTACTGTGGTGAAAATTGTTACAATTTATACAAACACTTTATGGTTTTTCTACCTTATGTTATGGAATGACTCCCTAATGATATGTATTTACTTTTATTTTCAATACATAATAAAAATATTTTAGAGTCCTTTGAATAGAGACTTACTTAACTTTCAAAAGGGAGTTGTTGGCACATATTTTTATCCAAAGTTGTTTCTTTTCACTTCTGATATTTCTTCAGATAATCATCATTGCTTACTTTTTGTACTTTTTTTATTTTTGATTTGTGAAATTCATTCTGCAGGTTTTTTTCTCTGTTTGTTTTTCTGGAGTTAGATCTTGGCCAGATTTCTTAATCAGATCCAATTCACTCAATAGAAACATACACTTTTTCCATACATTTCTTTCTTAGCTTTTAGCTTCTTCTTATGATTATAAAAACATTTTCATTATGTTAGTATAAACAACTTTTTAAATTTTATCATGGGTGATAAATATTCAGGGCACAGTCTTTTTTAAAAAAATATTTAATTTTTTATTTATGCTAAAGTTTCAAGCCAAATGTGTGGGTCGTCTTCAGGGCGTGGTTTGAACATTGAGAATGTTCAAGTACTCAGTACTTCTACGCCCTGAAGTGATCCACATATTTGGGTTGAAACATTGGCATAAATAAAAAATTAAACATTTTTTTAGAAAAAGAACGCGCCCTGAATATTTATCACCCATGATATGTAGAACAGTCGACTAACTACCTTCAATTTTTTAATTTTACTTTAACTGGTTTTGTAATTTTAGTTATTATCCTACTTTTTATTTTATCAATAAATTTGTTTAGATCATTCGATTTTGAAATTGAATTGAAAAATGGAGTGGTTCATACATTTAGTTCAATTGAAAAAGAAGAATATGGAAAGTTGTATGATTTTATAAATGCTAAGAAGCTCCACGTGAAGAACAAGAAATCAGTGAGTTTTTTTTTTTGTTGTGATAAGGTTTTAATCTTTGAATCTCTTCTTGCACTAACATAATTTATTTATTTTCAGGATAAACCTGGCTATTCCGTCGATGAATTTGGTAATTCTGATGAGGAGAAAGAACCAGATGCATATCTTGCACGTGTTAAGAGGGAAGCTGAAGAAAGAGATGAAGGTGAGGGTGGTACATCTGAAGATGAGTCGACTGATGATGATTTCGTCCCTGGTGGTGAAGCGAGTGATGTCGCTGAAGAGTATGTACTTTATTCAACTTTTTTATATATTAGTTATTTCTAGATTGTTACCAGAGTTAACTTTAGGCAGGTAATTAAATTTTTATCACAATTTTTCAATGACATATGGTTTAATGTGATTTTATTTTCAGGTACGATTCTAATCCTTCGCCCACTGATTCAGATGAAGATTCAGATGCCAGTGGAGGAGGTGGAGGTGGAGATGGTGGAGATGAGAAAAAAGAAAAGAAAGAGAAGAAGAAAAAAGAGAAAAAGAAGAAAACAACAACAATAGTAAGTTTTTAATGTTGATATTATTTTATTTCTTTAAAATAACATAATACTTACTATTTTATTTTGTTGACAGTCTGAAAAACCAAGGAAAAGGAGACAGAAAAAAGAAAAAGATGAAAATAAACCCAAGCGAGCTCCTTCAGCTTATATGTTATGGTTTAATGAAAACAGAGAAAAGATTAAAACTGATAATCCTGGCATTTCATTCACAGATATTGCCAAGAAAGGTGGTGAGCTTTGGAAGAATCTTACGGACAAATCAGTAAGCAGAATGAAATTTTATTTAACATTATATATTTAGTTGTATCATGTATAAGTGAGTATATTGAGCTAATATAACGTATTTTTTAAAGGAATGGGATAAACGAGCTGCGAAAATGAAAGAAGAATATTTAGAAGCAATGTCCGAGTACAAGGCCAGTGGAAAGGCAGCTGCTGCAAAAGAAAAAGCTGAAGGGAAGGAAAAGAAAACAGCAACAACAACAAAGGCTAGTAAAAAGGCAGTTGATAAGTCACCAGAAAAAAGGGGTAGTGGAGGGGCATACATTTCAAAAGAATTTATTGAAAGTGACTCAAGTTCTGATTCCGATGCAAAATCGGTAAGTTATAAGCATCATCTTTCATTTTTAGTTATTCATGTATAACTGAACTACATATACATAAGTAATAGATAAGTAAATATATAAGTAATAGTAATAGTAATATAAATATATAGGTAATATATATATATATATATATTAAAAGATATATATAAATATATTAAAAGAAGCAGAGCAAATTGGACTATAGGTCAATGTAGATAAAACAAAATACATGATAGTTAGCCGAAACATCCACCCTAATAACATGATCTGCGTGGATTCTAAGTCATTACTGAAAGTAGACAGATTCAAATACCTCGTCTCCACAATAACCTCAATAAATGATGAACTAACAGTGATAGACCAGCGAATAACAAGTGCGAACAGATCTTTCTTCTCTCTTTCAAAGGTACTGAAATCCAGAAAAATCTCCAGAAATCTCAAAACAAGGGTATACAACACCGTTATTAAGCCAGTTCTGCTGTATGGTTGTGAAACCTGGGCTCTAACCAGCACATTAGAAGCCAGAATTGAGAGATTCGAAAGAAAAGTTCTATGTAGGATAACAGGACCTATATGGGACCAGAATCTTGACACATGGAGGAGAAGAAACAATAAAGAACTGTTGAAAGAAATAGGTCAGTCAATATCTCATAACATGAAAACAAGGAGGTTAGGATGGGCAGGGCATGTAGCTCGTATTAATCCATTAGGGCGCCTCTGTACGACAATGAATGCCAGAATAGTAGGCAAGAAACCACGTGGGAGGCCAAAAACCCGATGGATAGATAGGATAAACAAAGATACGGCCACAAACTGGAAAGCAGTAGCCCAAGATAGGCAGAGGTGGAGAAGGCTGATTCAGGCTGCCAAAGATCTACAAGGTCTGTGGAGCCAACCGACAAAAAAAAAAAAAAAAAAAAAAAATATATATATATATATATATATATATATATATATATATATGTATATAAGTAATAGTAATATATAAGTAATCATGATATGTAGTTGTCCATGTATATGATATATAGTAAGAGAAATAGCCCACACTACAGATGAAAATGGGTCTGTACCGCAGACTAAGTAATATTGTGATTGTGAAAAACTTTGAATCCAAGTTTTAAAATTATAAAAACACATTTAAAGGTTTCAAAATATCAAGTTTTGCAAAAAGGTCTGTTTGTGTGTACATTAACAGTCGAAGTTAAAAACAAAACGGAGTAAGAAACTGATATTACATATTAATGGTAGGTAAGGTAGGATAAAACTCTCAGTTTTCGGCACCCTTAAAAAAAATTGAGATGTGTTTGTCCCATTTTCTATTGCTCGTGTACTTCGTTCAACTATTTTGGTTCTGTTAAGTAAGTAAAGATCCCTAATTTCAAAATTTATATGTATAATATTGTCTTTCATTTATTTTTTATAGTAAAATGTAAACATATCTGTATGCGGCAGTTTTTGACACAATTTATCCAGTTTTCAACACCTACTGCTTAATTTTCAAAGACTTGAAGAATTATATCTGGCAGCCTTCAGAATGAGAAAACTACAATAACATTGTGCAGGAATGTGTTTCTTGCTCAAAACATAAGACACATCCTTTCTGGACAACACCTGGTGGGTTTCTAATCTTCAGCGATTTTTTTGACCTATAAAACTAAATAAAGGAGTGAGATGTATCAGTCTAGCAGCAACTAAGTGAGTTGTGCGCAGTAGAATGTTCCTACACAATGATATTCACAAGTACATCTGGATTAGACCCAAAGGAGTGAAAAACCCTAATGACCATGTGCCGGTTGACAAGAGACATCAGAACTTAATGCTAGATGTAAGAAGCTATTGTGGAGTAGACTGTGATTCGGATTACTCCCTGATTGAGAGAGTTAAACCATGTCTGAGTTTCAAGCGAATTCAAACAACAGAGTAGAAAGAATGAGGTATGAAGTCCATAATTTAAAAAATTCTGAAGTAAAAACCAAATTCCAACGTAAGCTGAAAAATAAATTTGAACTCTTGGATTTGGATAGTCTCTCAGTAGACTAACACTGAAAAGAAATAGATAAAGGACTAAAAGAAACAGCTAAGGAAGTGATAGGTGTTCAGGAGAAACGAAAAGCTAAGATTTGGTTCACAGAAGCATGCGAAAAGGCAGTAGAGGAAAGAAAAATGAAAGTCTTCTGCCTGACTACAACTGATCAAGTTGTTTAGAACAAGTACACAGCTGCCAAAAAAAAAAAAAGTAAAACATTTCCAGGAACTTTTCAATCAAGAGGACCCCATGAACGAAGAAGACATGGGCCACACTGAGGACCTTAACCCAGAAGAGGTTGATAAACATGATATACTGGATGTAGAAATAGCTATTGAAAGACACCAAAGATGACAACCTACCATCAGAACTGTTTAAAGAAGGGGGGATGACTTAAGAGCCAATCTACTACAACTAATCCAAAAAATATGGGAAGATGAAAGGATATCTGAGGCTTGGAATAATCTGTTCTATCCTAAAGAAAGGCTCCATATATAAGTAGTAATTATAGAGGCATAGCACTCCTGGTTCCCTTGAAGATAATGATCAATATTCTACTAAACCAGATATATCTGTATTACGAAAATATAATATGGGACCACCAAGCTGGATTCAGAAAAGGGAGGAGCATGCTAGACTAGATCTTCATCCTAAAAAAAGTACTCGAAAAATGATGGGAAGTAGGTCAGGACGTTCATGCTCTATTGTCGATTTCCAAGCAGCCTATGATTCTGTGGACTGGAACTATTTGGAAAATCATGACTGAACTGGGAGTTCCCATTAAGTTGGTCAGATTGACTAAGGTGTGTGAAAATGATCCTAATTTTAAATTCCTAATACAAAGAGAAGTATGTAAGACAGGGAGATAGACTATCAGCGATGTTGTTCAACTTTTTTCTGGAGAAGGTGATAGAAACATCGTAGGAAAATGAAGGGGTTCACGTCGAAAATAATCAAGAGGACATTGAGAATCTCGCTTAAACTCTGATAAGACAGGCAGAGCAGATCGGCCTACAAGTAAATGAAGACAAAACAAAATATATGATAATAAGACGAAAATTCCACCCCAATAGGATCTGTGTAGAACTAAAATCATTTTCATTAAAAAATCACCCAAGAGTAGAAAAATTCAAATACCTCGGCTCCACAATAATCTCAATGAATGACCAACGGTCAGAAATGGACCACTGTATAATTAGTGCAAACAGAGCTTTCTTCTCCCTTTCAAAGGTATTGAAATCCTGAAAAATCTCAAATTATGGGTGTACAATGCTATGATAGAGCCAGTTCTAATATATGGCTGTGAGACCTGGACACTAAACAGCACTCTAAAAAAAAGTATTGAAAGATAACTAGAAAGAATATTTATCGTTAATCAAAATAACATAATAAAGATCTTACAAATATTTAAAAAATAAATACAAATTTTCTTTATTAATCTCTCCACTTTTTTTAAACATATATGACATGGACTATTGTTCGTCCGTCAAGTCATCGCCTTTCATGTTTAATAATACTAATTATTATTTTTTTTTGTTTTTCAAGTTATAAATACATTACATAATAATTATAATTATACAAATAAAATTGAGAAAACATATCACTTAATAATAATGCCAACTACTACTGAATGACAATAAAAAAATAATAATAAAGCAATTAAAGTGTTTGAATTTATATCATTCATACCTAATATATTATTTAAAGTTATGGTCAAGATATAAACAAAAAAAAAAGTAATATATAAAATAATAAATAATAAATAAATTATACAGCAAGATGCGGGGTTCAATTAAAATTAAATTGTTCGAATAAGTATTTCCTATACTTTAAGGCTTGTACTGTATATTTATAAAATGAGGACCAATTTTTATTGTTAAAGAGCTCTATCGTTTCATCTCGTGAGATAGTGGTTTTTGGAAGTGTTGAAAGCCTTATATCTGTTAGGATCGGACAAACGGTAAGAAATGGTAGGTTTCTTCAGGGGTATTCATATTACATTAAGAGCATGTGTAAATTCTATCGCGTCTCCAGCGTTGACAGTTCAAATCTTAAAGTTCCTCTCTTGCTAAGAAAATTATCTTAACAAAACCTGGGCTTGCATCATTTGTTATATATTGATAAGATAAATTATGGTCTAGCTGGGCATATCCAGGATGAACTTCTTCTTTGCAAATCATCCTTATTATATTTTTCATTTGTTTTATTGCACAGCTTGAATGGTCTGTCTATCCCAGTGTAGGAGTATTTGTAGTCAAATTAATCCCCAAAACTCATTATAAGTTTATTAACTGTTAACACCAGTATATTATTTTTTCTATTATTAATTTTGCTGTAAAGTTGGTGTATCTCTCTGGGCCATGTAGTTTCAACACTGAATTTATATACCTGAGATGTTATGAGAGGTGTAATAAAACCTGTCTCAATGTAGAGTATATAATTAGGAGTACCAACTGATAAATTAAATAATTTTCGAATAAAGTACCTATTGAATTTCTCTATCTCCTCCAAACATGCAAAGCCCCAAACATTTTTAATAAAATCGATTTCATTAAAGAATCACTTTAACTAATTTTATATTTTTTTACAATTTTCTAGTAAATAGCTCTAATGATTTGGATTAAACTCATTATGTTAATGTACAATTAAATTGTCTTAAATGTCAGTTTTCATCATCTTATTAAAAATAATCTGATAGGTCCTTATACCAAATTTTGATAATTTCTTCCTCTAAAGTATCATGGATTTTCTTTATTGGAAATAATTAATCATCACTTCTCATTATTGGTAGATATAAAAATCTGGTGCGCGCAACACACAACTTTCACTTACTGCAATACTTTGAATAGAAATTATTTTCTGGCAATGTTGGGCTATTATAAAATTTTTGAAGTGCATGCATTTTAAAGGGAGCTGAAGCATAAAGCTTAATAGATCATTAAGACCACTAAAATTACAAAAAGTCTATTTATTACGTCACAATAAGCAATAAAAATCTAGTTACTCTATCTGCTTTTATAAACCACACAAATTCAGACTATAAGCCTATCAGTTGACAGAATGACTAACTCAAATTTCAACGTTTTTGAGTAATGTCATTTTAGTGATATTTATAGTAGGAAAAGTATCTATAAAGACAGTGAGTAAGTTGATTCCAGAGCAGATGATTACACTGTTGAAATATTGAACTGTGAATAAAGGTATAAATTTTGCCACTAGAAACATCACAAAAATTAATATTAAAGAATGTTGAAACTGGAGTTAGTCATTCTGTCAACCGAAAGGCTCATATCTGCCTAGAGAGATTTGAAAGTATACTGAATATTTAACCTATAAATGATTAATAAGGACTATTAGTTATTAAACTATTATTTTCCATTATAAGGTTTACTAAAATGAATTAAGATAATTTTCATAGTCTACCATGGATAGGTGAAAAGTTGTCACACTAATTGTAAGTGGATAATGTTGGGATTTCACAAAGTTTTTTTGTAATAAACAGTCAATAGACACCTAATTATTTAAATATAATATTATTTCTAGTGTTATTAAACTACACTAAATGTATTTAAGGTTATAAACATATCCATGAAATATTTTTATATTTTACTTCTTCTTTCACACAAGTATAATGAAATAGTATTTTAAACAATGTCATAGCCTTGATTCGATGGATTTTAAATACTTTTTTGTCAAAAACAAAAAAAAAAATTAAAGTTTACATTTAGACAGAAAATTTCATTTAATTTCCTTGGAAACATGTGGTTTACGTTAAATTATGTTAGTTTTCAGAAATTATTATTTTTATTTTTATCGTCACTCTCTGTTACCTTATACAACTTTATTTATTTGATATTATTTGTCTAAAATTTTCTGGTTTCTAACGATATATTATACGTATACCTTCTGATTTTTATTTCCGGACATTCATTTGTAACCTGGATGAGCATTTTTCTTTATTGCTCCAGTTTCCAATTATCATATTCTTTCATATTTAGCCATTCATTGTAGTTACTGTTAATAAAATTGAATTATTTTTTTTAAATAAACCATATTAAAAGATACTTTAGAGGAAGACGTATATGAACATTTGACATTTAAACCCTGTAAAGTGACATCAATGGGGATAAGACCTAAATGATATTAAAGGCCTCTTAATTATACAATGATACACCAAATTTAATCAAAATCATTAGAGCCGTTTTTGAGAAAATTGTAAAAATGTGTTTCAGCGTTGATATAAAGTGGCACTTCCGGTTAGTCGATTTTAAGGAAAAAGTTGCTAGGACATCTAAGGCATAACCTATCTTAAATACTTAATATCAGTTTCGTAAAACTTTTCTTTTTCGGGCTAGAGTGTTCATATATTCACAGATCATTTTGGATTTGGACTCAGAGGACCTCAAAACGTGTATTTCCGTTGAAAACTCAGATTAAAATATTTTCACGATTGCAATACTTTTCCTTACTATATATTACATATATAGGTAAGTGAAATTAAAAAACGGATAAATATAAACTATGAAAGAATTTGATAATCAACTAAACGAGAAATATTTTCTATGGTTGAAAACAAAAGTTTTGGAAATAAAAGTAGTGATAAAGATGTATTGTATAATATAATTTATTGTTGTAGAATTGTATAATATATTGTTATAAATCTGAAGTTTTCTTAAAATTAATGACTATTAAGTTGTAAAAGATTATGAAAATTGACATTTATTTATATTTTTATATCTTGTTTCAGAAACCATCAGGCAACAAAAAAGCTTCTGAAGGGAGCGGTAGTGATTCACCTAAAAAATCCAGTCCAAAGAAAGAAAAAGATAGCAATGAAAGTGACAGTGGTGAAGAAAGTGAATCGGATAAAAAGAAAGTGCCTCCTAAGAAAGAAGTAGAGAAGAAAGGTGCTGCTAAGAAGAAAGAAGAGAGTGAAGACAGTGGAAGTGATAGTGCAGAGAGTGCTAAAGGAAAAAGTAAGAAAACTAAAGGAAAAGAAAGCAACAAGAGAAAGAAACCAGACAGCGGGAGTGACTCAGACAAAAAGAGCACCAAAAAGAAAGGGAAGAAAGATGAAAGCGAAGATGAAGATGAAGAACTATCAGAAGAAATTCTTAGTACCCCAACTGCTTCTAGTGCTGAATCTGATAGTGATTAATTTATCTATTTTATACCTGTATTAGCATGTTTCCAATCGAGTTGTTGGTGATAGTTAATTCGCAATTTTTTCGAAAATGAACGGACATTAATATATTTTTATAAGTGGTCTTAAGTTTGTTTATTACAACTATTAAGAATAGTTTAGACAAACATAATGATTTAAACAAATGTTTTCAAGCCAAAAATTTTTGTTAGATAATATTTTTGATTTGTGTATGTGGATAAATGTGAATTATCAATTTATCTACAAATGAGAATTTCATATGCCTGTTTTAATTTACTTAACCTTAGGAAGTATTTTAATTTGACACAAAACGTTTTAATTGTGTTTATAAATAATCATATGTACATATTTTGAAACATTTGATACATTAATTCTCTGTTTATAAAATATAATTGATTAAATCTTTTTTGTTTATTATTTATTTTTTGATTTAATGTTTTCTCATCCTGTCTTGAGCATTCTTCTCATCATGTTGTTTGCCTGTATATCGTTGCTTAGGCTTTTTTGTTACAGGCAATTATTCATTGAATTTTTTAAATAAATGTATTATGTATATGGTAAAAAGAAACAAGGGGAATAATATTTAATTTGGTAGAGAGAAGGGGAAAATAATTAATACTTATAATTGGTAAATGGTTGACTGTCGTGGATAATGAAGAGAAGAATAGTTGGGATGGTCAGTCAAAAAAGAAGGCAAAAATAAATGATAATATTTATTTTTACATATGCCAAATAAAATAAAATTGAAAAAATAAATATTATCATTTATTTTTGCCTTCTTTTTTGACTGACCATCCCAACTATTCTTCTCTTAATTATACTTATTTAGATTTTTGTTAAAATTACTTAGATTTGAATATTTACATAATTAAAATGAGCAGTATATAATGAATAAAGTCTCAAATAAACTTATGAAATGAAAGAAGTGTGGAAATAAAGTGCCAATAGAGAGATTCAAGAATACTTAAATCCTGAAGAAATTCTTCTTCGTCTTCCTCCTTCTTAGTGACTTTCAGCGTGGAGGAGCCTCGACCCATCTATGCTAGTCATTACGGTCTCTCCCCAGGTCCCTCATATAACTCAACTGCTCGCCTCTTCTCTGTCCGAGCTTGGTTATTTCGCCAAGTTTTCCGTGGATGTCCTCTTGGCCTCTTTTCTGTGGGTCTTGCCTCAAGAAATTTTCTGGGTTTCCTGTCCGCTTCCATCCTCATAACATGATCGAATCATTTGAGCATTTTCTTTTCCACGATTTCCAGGATTGGTGACACCTTAACATTTTCTCTAATCCGTTCGTTTCTGAAGCAATCTCTTCTAGTTTGGCCAGCTACTCTTCTCAGATATTTCGTTTCGGCAGCGGTAAGTCTACTTTTGTGCCTATCTAGAAGGACACAGTTCTCAGAACACCAATAGACTGGTAAAATATGAATAAGAAAAATTAAAAATTGAAGAGAAGTTGGTTTGGAGTTCAGTCATACAAATGAAGTAAAAATAAATAAATTATATTTATTGTTATTTTTACCAATGTTTCGGCCTAAGGTTTAGGGCTAAGAAAAGAAAAATAACATAGGTATGAGAAATTAGTAGATGGTAAAAGTAATATGTAGCTAAATGGTATAGTCTAATAACATATAGGTAGAATAAATATGTGGAAAGGCAAATAAATATATGATATATAAATAAAAGAAATATAAAATAATGCTAACAAAGTTAGGAATTTATGAATATGAAATAAATAGTAACGGTAACAGAGTTAGGAATTTATGAAATAGTAAAATAATAGTAACAACATAATGAAATTAACAAAGAAATGTAATGGAATATTATGAGATAAAAATCGTAAACGTTAGACAAAATAAATAGAGTGACGTAGTTGCTATAAGTTGATGTCTTAGAATGTTAAGAGGAAGTGAGATAAACAGAATAAAAATGAAATATTTTTAATGAAATAAAGAAACCTGGTGAGGTGTGCACACAACACCACCCTCTTAGCAGAAATAAGTATTTTCAGAGAAACGGGAAGTGAAAGTTAAAATTATAAACACTATATTGATTTATATTTCATTGTGGGTATTTTTATTTGTTTAAGTACCCTTATATATACAAATTTTAATATTTATATTGCTGTAATCTATTCAATATATTAAATAATACCAACGAAAACATTAGTGTAAGTACATAATATTGTTGGAGTTCGTATTATATTAAGCTCATGTTACGTATGGAAGCCTGTTCTAATCTTCGGATGAAGTCACCGAGCTCGTATTCCTTTGGTTCCTTAATTACAACTATTCTCTGTTATGTTCTCTTATTTCTCCTTTAGTTAATTATCAAATTCTTTCATATTTTGTATTTAACTATTTTTTATATCCAAGATCAATGTGAAATGGTTAATTCAAATAAAAAAAAAATTAAAGGTACTTTGAGGGAAGCTAATATTAAAAATTAGCCATTTCAGTCCTGTTAGAGAACATCAATGACAATAAAACCTACATAATATTAAAAACAATATTAATTTAATATTAATATTAAAAACTGCTTGATTTTACACTGATATAATAAATTTAATCAAAATCGTTGAAGCCGTTTCTGAGGAAATTGTAAAAATGTGTTATATAAAGTGTCACTTACCGTTAGCCAAAAAAGTTGCTGTAACAACCTATGCATATAAAAATCTTAAATATGCAATTTCACTTTCGAACAAATATTCGTTTTTGAGCTATACAGTTAACACACACATAAACCAATTTACAGGACTTGGTTATTTGGACTCAGGAGACCTCAAAACGTGTATTCCCATTGAAAACAGATTCAAAAATTTTTACGAGCGCAGTAATTTTCTTTACTATATATTTCATATATCGGTAAGTGAAAGTAATATTCTGATTAAAATAATCTTAAAACTCCATTGCATTCTTTTTTGTTTCATGTTTCATTTCTTTGTTAATTTCATTATGTTACCGTTATTTTAGTATTATTTATTTCATAAGTTATTAACTCTGTTATCATTGTTATTTATTTCATAAGTTCTTAACTTTGTCATCTCTATTCACTGGGGGAACTATGGGGGGAGGGGCTTTGGGGCTGAAGCCTGAAGTATTCTTGTTCGTGTAATTACATTTAAAAGGACTTTAGGAATCACTTAAAACACCATTTCATATAAGTAGTTAGTTTCTTTCTTTTTTCCCAAATTAATTATCATTATTTTTATGAAAAAAAAGCTTTCGGGCTGAAGCCCCTCCAAATTAAATTAAATCTTTAGCTTGCGCTACTTTCTGTTCCCAACTTTGTTAGCGTTATTTTATGTTTCCTTTATTTATATATTGTATATTTGCCTTTCCACCTATTTATTAATGTTATGTTTATTCTACCAGCATGTTATTAGACTAGACCTTTTGTCTACGTATTATTACTTTTACCGTCTACTAGTTTCTCATATCTATGTTATCTTGTCTTTTCTTAGCCCTCATAAAGGCCTTAATAAAAATAAATATAATTTATTTACTTTACTTCATTTGTTTGACTGAACACACCAACCAACTTCTCTTCAATATGGCTAAGGCAGTCAATTATTAATCCAGTATCAAAAATTAAGAATTATTTAAACCAATACTGTAAAAAATAAAATTTAATTTTTGTTAAACTGCTTTTTTAATTACCTAAAATATATTTCCGAGTTATTAAAAACAAAATGTACTAATGTAGCACTGTGGCAATAGTCATACAAATAAGAGATAGAAGAATTATTTTATTCATATATAAATTTGGAAGTACAGGTGCCTGTAGCAGACTTAATAGGAAGAGGAATAAATGAATAACATTGCAATGTATGAATTTGTTGATTAAACCTACATTCTCAGTCAAGTTTGATATTTTACTTTATAAACAACTAATTTAAAACTCATCAAGTTAATCACTTATTGTTCCATGCAGACACGCTTGGAAAGAAAAAAAGTGTGGTGAAGGAAACATAGGTGGTTAGGTTGTCATGCCTGTGGTACTTCACCAGTACCAAATAACAGTCATCCTTAAAACTGAAGATGAAAAACTCAAATTTTACTTAATTAAAAATATATTGAAAGAAAAATACATTTTAATTTTTGTATATAATACATACCCAATAAATAATGTATTATTACATCTGAGACAATGAAATCATTTGAAAAAATGATATTTATGAAAAGTATTTTATAAAATTAAACTATTACCATAATAAATTAAAATTTCACACATAAAATTATATCAGTCTAATGAATATACAAGACGACAGGAGTGCTAAAAGATTTTACTGATTTTATCATTACCACATTAAAACTAGTTATGTCCTACCACTATAAATATACACTACATAACAATGCCACAATCAGATCTATTATAAATGGCACATGGCTCTTCTCAACTAGATGTCACGCTACTTAAAAACTAAAATCCCCACTAAATAACACACATATAATTTACTATATTAAAATTCTTTTAGAGAAACAAAAATATATCTCTGGCCTGATTTAATATTAACAGTATAAATTATAATCACTACTATCAAACACTTGTCAATAAATATACCAACAATATATTTTATACTTATAATCAATTTGAATTTAAAATACCGTTTTATATAAAAATAATTATAATAACATTAAATGAGCTTACTTTACTACTGCTTGATAAAGAGTTCACTCATTTAAAAAAATCATGATAATAATTGTTTAAATTTAAAAGGCGACTAAATTAATTTAAATTTTGTTTAATTAATTAATTTAAATCAAGCAGATGAGATACAATTTCATTAAACTAGATTAACATACGTCTACATAAAAATATATCACACAATGAATCTACATATTTTAATTTTTTTATACATATTTTTTTGTATGAAGCTGCTACATTAAGAACATTTGTTTACAGTCATCAAATGGTAATTTGAAATTATTTATACCTAATCTAGAGTTCATAGAATTTAAAGGTAACATAAAAAGAACCGTTTTTAATAACTAATATTCATAAACTGGGAAGAGTAGGTCAATCCAGCTTGAGCAATCAACTACCTATATTTTATTGCTATCTATTGAGATTTCCTCTTTAATTTTACAATTGTCTGTAGCATTACAAAATGCTCCCATATTCGGATACAGTAGAATGTCAACAATTCCAATGGAATCGCATAAATTAGTTTTGCCTTACTTATGAATCAAAAGTATCTAAAGAATTATAATCAAATGAAAACTGCATCAAATAAAATATCTTAAATAAACAATGTAAATATTTGCTGGTTTGTACAACTGTCCGAGCATAAGTTTCTCATTTTGTGTGAATAGATAACCAAAGTACAAATTTCTAGGCAATACATGAACAGCAAGAATTTTGTTTAAACAATAGCCTGGAAGTGAGTGGGTAAACTTGATATTTTCACAATAATTCAATTAATTAACTAATGCTACTATCAATATCTATAAATAATGAAAATTTCCACAATGTTTAAAATTTGGATGGCATGATCCATAATTAATGTAAATTAAATTACTGACATCCTACTGTATTAATCCACATTATATATTTGGTACTTTCCTTCTTGAAATAATTACTGTACATGATATGACTTATATACTGTCTCATAGGCTATAAAACAACTTTATTTTTAGCCAATTTGAAAAAAATATATTTTGAAAGAAAATTTTTTATGTCCAATAAGATATAAAAATGGATAATCAAATTACTTTTTAAGTATAGTTTTAACTCATTTATTACTTAACAATTTTTTAATATCTATGCAATTCAACATTTCTAAGGAATATTGTTAACAGTAATGGTAGAAAACAATTCTATACCTGAATTTAACATCTATTTTTGTAAAATAGTCAAAATTCATGTGATATGAAAAGCAGTTCTGAATAGTATAAGCGATAAAAGATCTGTGTCAAGTCTAATGACAAGAAAGGATAACTCAGAATTCTAATTTTTTTTTTTCAAAACGAAAACAAAAAATTACTTTACACAGCTTTATGTTTTGAGGAGTAAATTAACTTTTTACCAACCATTTTTTTTCTTCATATAATGGAACCTTTCAAACTATACATAGAAAAAGAAATTTAAATGGAATTATCCCTTTTTGTAAGCAGACGCCTCAAGTGATATCTTGACGGTAGTTGTTTCACAGTAATTTGACTTGCATTAAATATTTTAAGAATTTATTACTTTAGGTCAACTAGTAATTGACTGCTATCTACTTAGTGCTTTAAGAAAATCTAATACATAATTGCTTTCTCTGAAAATTTCAAAAATATTTTACATATCATTTACCTAATGAAATCTTTAACGAGTTAAAACTAAAAGATACAGTAAGGTTTATAAAATGTAAAAGCTTCATTTATGCCGGATATATAATGTTAAATTGATTAAATATATTCTGATATTTTTAACAGTCATAAAAATATAATAGTTGAACTTTGAATGGATAACATTTTTAATTTTTGTACTGTTTTTCTCCTTTTTCTTTTAATGAGAAAATTCTAATGCACTTACTTTACATAACTTCCATTAGCTACCTATGATGGACTAATTGGTAGAACCTTCGTTGATAAATTTTAACAGCCTTTATGAAAATTAACAATCATCATTATTAGTCTATGATTACTTGATAAATATGCAGAAAATTATTGAAATTCATTATTATCATAGAAATAACCAAAACTTTATAAAACTAAATATCCAATCAGTAGACCATTAATGATTGGAGTATGTGTTTACTATCTTATCTATTTATTTTCTCCCTATCTGCAAAGTACATTGCTCGCTTACAAAATGAGTTTTTTTTTGCAGCTTTACCTTCCAATTAAGAACTTGAAGAGGTCTTCAAGGATTTCAAAAGCATACTTCATACATAGATTCTGATAACATCTGAACTAAATATCACAATGAAATAGATTTCGATCGAAAATGATTTTTTTTTTAAATTTACTTTACTGTCTAAAATAGCTTAGACTTTACAAAAACCCAACAAGTAACAACATTAATCAATTTTATTTTCCACAACCATGAATGTTTAATTAATCTAATGAAGAGTTGACTTCTTCTTGAGCATTTTATTACTATAATATCCTTCAATATTTTTATAACTCTTATAGGCTGAATTACTTTGGAATTCAATTAAATTGAAAGAAACATAATGTCAATAAAACTTGTGATAATAATTCATTAAATAAAACAAAAAAACATACATAATAATAGGTTGTGTTGTCATATGAATAAGATTACAATCGCCTCCAATAATTACAAATTAACATACCAACCTGATTGCTATAATTTCACTATTTAGTTTGAATCGGAATGCTTTCAACCGCTGATCAAAATCAGCAAAAAAGATTCAATTCTTGAGTATTTTATAAACATTTAGCTAGTGAAGCGAGAAAGGAATGGAAAAATAAATTAAGGCTCTTCTTCTAGTTGAGAAGAGCCAAAGTCCCGATATCATCTGTTGGTAGCAGTTTGTGATGTGCTGAGAGCAGAAAATGAACTGTTTGCTGACTGAAGACTAGACATCGAACCCCTGAAGAAAACATTGAAAGATAGTTAATATAAGGAGAAATTTCATATTTAATGTCGACTAACTTTTGAAGAAATTGCTTGATGTGGCAAAGAAATAGTTGGACTCAATTGTCATCAGAAATATCAACATTATTTCCAGGATATAATTAATCATAGGATTAATCAAGAAAAATAAATAATTTTTTCAATACATTGATCCATTTTTTAGTATTTCATCAGGGCCTATCATCAGCTACAACAAAAACACAGAAGCATATGTAAGAAAACTATCAATTAATGCGATAGTAATAAATATGGTAGTATAGTATACGTTACATATATGAATGGAAGAAAACAGATATATAAAAATGCAAATAGAGAATATGTAGAAAATTAATTTTAGATGTGGAGTATTGAAGAACCGTCACAAACCGAGGAATCAAAGAAGAAAACCAATACTTTCTTAAAACTGATTTTGTCTTTCTCCACTAGCTGCTCCCTCTCTATTACCTCTACACCAACCTAAACATTTTTCTTACATGACCTTATTATAACCATTCTCTTTCATTGTTTTCTTGGTGCAGAGTTAAATCTTTTCCTTTTTCAGTTCTAATTTTGTTTTATTTGTGGCCTCTGTTTTAGCATTGATAACATCACTGTCAGTGAAATTGCTCCAATTCACTTTAACTGTGATCCTTGACTAATCATACCCTGAATTTAACACAACAAAATACAAAATCATTTACATATAACGCACTTATAATTAAAAATGAATTTATATGGATAAGTATGCTTTATTTGAAAGTTTCTTGAAACAAAAAATGAAATTTTTGTTAATAATTTATACAGTTTTAAAAAATCTACCAATCTCAGAAGGCAATAATAGTTGATTCAAGGACTAAGTGGTCCTTTCTAACTATCGCATATCTTAGTCAACTATTGTAAGCAGTAGACTTGGTTCATATACTACATACAATTTGCCTAGGACAAAGAAAAACTAATCTGAAAAAAATCAGAAAGTATTCTCTGCAGGTTCCCATTGAAACCTGTTCACTTTTAGTATTTTGAATAAGTCGAAAACTAAATATTCTTTCTGAACATTATACCAAATGATGTTTATTTGATAGATCATTAAATTCACAAAGTAAAACTTAAGAATTTTCGAACAAAATCTTAATCAGCTTAATTTTAGTGAAGATGCAGGAAATAAATTTTGTTATGGACTTAATGCCCAAACTGGTGAGGAAGTATCATCAAGTGGATACATCAAATATTTTCATTTATATCAATTCTCTATCCAAAACAGGGACATCCTAATTTGTAAAAATATTTTCAGTGCTATTCAACATTATTAGTATAAATAATGCTATAGAATGGATCGAAATTGATCAAATGAAAACAATTTAAAATATAAATCTTTGGAATGAAAAAATATTTATTTATTAAATATAAACAAAAGATAACAAAAATTATAATCTATAACTGGCTTAAAATACTTTTATTCACAATACTAATGGTTCCTGAAATACACAAACATCATCACTTAGCAAACTGCTCCAACGACCATTGACTGAATTTCTATTATAGATCTGTAAAAAATGAATAATTTCTTATGATTTAGACCTTTAGTTGTTTTGTTTTTTAGATTAATAGATAGGGAAAAATGATTGTAAATCAAACTTTCACCCCCCAAAAAAAATCCTAAACAAAAATCAAAGTATAAAGTTCTTTTGTCTTCAAAACACTAAGGGTGGTAGAGCATAAATTATATTAAAAATTAGGTACGCAATCATATGAAAATAACAACTGTAATAAATTTTCAATACTGTAAATTTGATTTAATTGAAACTTAACTTATTAAATTTTTTTTTTAATGCATATACACTTTTTATTGGTTTTAGCAAAAAATAACTAATAAATATAATGTGTTATGATTATATGATTCAGTGGTTTTTAAGTTTCACTAAATAATTAGACAAAGAACATTGAACCAATAATGAATTTGATTATTAAAATATAAATCAATAAGCAAATCATTTGAACATTAACAATAATATATTATAAGAGTGTTACCTATAATCAGCTGAAGAAAGTATCTCATAATAGTACATCAGCTGTGCCTTATGGTCACCCTGGTGGCTCCAGGATAAAGAATATTGACCAGGGGTTGAACAAACGTGCGAACCCTGCACGCTTTCTCCATCCCTGCATAAAAGGGGACCTTCAACCTTAATACAATCCTCTTCACCTACACAACAGTAATAAAATATTTTATACCCATAATCCTGAGAAATATAAGTTAATTAAATTTACTGACTCATAGCCAAAACTACAAAAGAGAAGTAAAAACAATAAACAATAACCTGCAGTGCTGTGCTTAGGAGAACTGTTTCTTCTTGTCACAGTAAAAGTGACATCTTCCCTTATGATATCAAAATCCCAAGTGATTACGCTTCCAGCATCTGCTATATTTAATTTTACTTCATGAGCCTATGAAAATTGAATCAATAATATAATATAGCATTTAAAAAATAACTTACTAACTTGCATGTTTAAAATATCAAAGTAAAAAAAAAAAAAATTAAATCAAACGTATTAGTCAATTCAGTACCAGTATTGGTCTTATTTTCATTGAGGGTTATGGAATTTCTGTAATTGTGAATCGTTGCTGAGAATAGGATGAACATGTATCTTCAAATACAAGGTACACAGAAAAATTAAGTATATAATTTTCTTATTATAAAACTAAACATCTGTAAATTTGTTTGTATTGAGTAATACAAGAACAAAACATTAGAACTTGACTAAATTTTTGCAACAGGTAAGCTTGGACAGAAGGCAATGAAAGATGGAGTTAAGTATTTTATCCTATTCAAATGACTTTAGTTTGAATATTGTTACTGTAAAATAATAACAATCATACTAGTGAAGATTTATTTTTATTATTATGCTTTCTTTTAACAATTTTATTTTAAATTTCCACAGAATGGGATAGCTGAATACTTATAGGAAGCAATCCTATGTAGACTATATAGAAACCATGGGCACGGGGTTGACAATTTGAGTTGGCAATGGGATATAATCATAAGAAGCCAAAAAAAAAAAAATATAAAATAAACTCTAACAAAATATTTCTAAAAAGGAATTATACACAATATTTACTAAGAATTTTATTATATTTTCTCATTTACTCCTAAGTTGTATCCTAATTGAAGGCCCACTAATCATTTTTAATTATATATATATATATATATATATATATATATATATATATATAATGTTTAGAAAGAAAGAAAGAATTAATAAGGTCTTCATGTTATTATTATAATTATTATTTATTTTATTGTTTATCATTATTTATTAATTATCTGGACGTTTCGAGCTTTTGTTGCCCATAATGTTGCACATATTATTATTCTCATTATTTATCAAACTATTGATTTAAAAATTGTCTGATACAATCTGTCACAGCATAGATATTATTGAAATTCATTTAATATGTTTTTATTCTTTATTTTGCAAAGAAATAAAGAATAATACAATATAGACTTTAATAATTATTACAGAAAAAAAAATAAAATAATAATAATATGATTTCTCATTTACTTATTATTCAACTGACTTATTATGACTAATATTCACACATGATAAAGCATAAGTACTACCAAACTCCATTTAGTGTTACAATCTGCAGTTTAATGAATCAGAAAGAGAGAAGGACACAAGAAACTAAGATTTGTAATGCCTCCTTTGGTCATGGTATTATTTTTTTTTTAAATAAATCATGCTTTATATTAAGTGGATTAAAAACATTAACCACAGCTATTTATTTATGTTGAGGAGATTTAGTTGGTCATTTATCACAGTACTATCTATATAAAAATTGAATTGAGATTACCTGTCCTTTCGAAAGGCTGACAGAATGATACATACTATCATCTGTCAAAGGATTTCCTTCACGGCCGAGTTCACCTTCTGTCAGGTACAAACTTTTTGGCACCAAACTACCCTCAACGACATTTGTCTGAAAACAGTTTAGTATGCTAAAAATGCCTTTGTTTACTAGAAATAAAAAAATTAACATTTTTTAAACATTATGTTACTTTGCATTGGCCGCCAAGAAAATCTGGAATATATTCTTCAGGAATGTAGTCAATCAAACCCCCAGGTTCTTGATAATCATTGCCGGCATAAAATAGAAACTTTGTTCTGGTGACATCATCTAAAAAAAATCATAGATAAGCAGTTTTAATTTAATTTAATGACTATTTATTATTAAGAGTATATTAAAACAATGGTTTTTACTAAACTACCATCCTAGAAAAATAAACGTAGTAAACATACAAATGTACACACATATACATCCCAATGAAGCACAATATAATTAATGACAACCATTTTAAGCTTTAATCTGAGCAATTTTTGAGTAACATCAGTATTAATATAGTATCAAGAGTATCCTGTAAATACAATAATTAAAGTAGATAGATCAAGAATACCATTGTTTATACAACAGGATCATAAATAATTACTTATCATTATAAAAAACACAAGTTAAACATAATTTCAACCTTAGCAGTTCTCTGAAAATGTTCCAACATATGTAAATTTATCACTGAATCTAAATTTTTCAGGTGATTCCATGATATCAATAATTAATAATGAAACTCAATAACAGATTAATCTGGTATTTATCTGGCTCCCTCTAAACTTCATGTGCATACATCAACAGTAAGACACTTCTAAAGCATTCCCTGGTCACATGGAGAAGGGAGAAGATTTATTAGACAGGAACCAAGAAGCCCCTGTCTCAAGTTATGACATGGGAATATATGATTATGACATAATACCTGATCCATACAGTCCCAAGTGAGCTATTGTTCTATTAGTATTATTATGTATACACTTTGTCAATCAATAACATATTATATTATTGATAAAAATAACATATGTTATCAAAGTAGGTTACACAAATGTCTGAAGTGTTAATTAAAAGTTTAGGTTAAAGTCAGACAAATATATGTATTTGTCTATGAAAAATATAATATAAAAATAATGAAAAATATATTTAGTGTATTAAATAATGATCCATGCTCTAACCATTTGACAAAAAATAATTTAAAAACCTATACTTGTAAATGGATTGAGAGATTATAACATACAAGCTATCAGAGAGAATTCAGCCATAAGCTTCATGGTTGTAACAGTAGCTTAAAAGTTTAAAATGTTCCTTTAATTTAGCAGCACTAATAAATTACTAATGTATTATAATTTTTGTCAAATAAATTATTTAAAAAATTTAATTTGATTTAAGAATGAGACCTTTTATAATATCTTGATTTCCCTTTAATATAGGTTTCTACGAGAAAGATCAATTTCGGAAAAAGTTGTTAATATTAAAGAAGAAAAGAAAAAGAAAAGACACCACTGTCATCATCATCATCATCGAATACACTCTTCGGACAATACAGCATCGACTACGGAAAGTGAACCAAACTTACGAAAAAACATTGAACATTCAACGACTGACTTATTATCATATAAAATTGACAAATATCAAACGCTTAAATATTACGCTACATGTGTAGCAATGGGTTTATTTGCTATTTTATTATTTTTAACAGTAATCCATTATTATGGCCAACAACTGGACAGGTTATTTTCATGCGACCGGACCAGATTCAATGCTGTGGCATACAATGAGCGTGGTTTAATGTATTACCTGTGCAAAACTATCAAAATAATCAGAAATCCAGGGGTTACATTTTTAGAACACTGACAGTATATTTGCCTGTTAATTTGAAGGTGTAAATGAAAAACTAAGTTGTTCTGAAAAAATGCAATGAAAATGAAGTTGTCTTTGTCCACTTGAGTTATGAGAAAATATGTAACATTATAAATAAACAGTGTCTTTGTAAATGTCTTTGTTATATTTCAGAATTAGTTTAGTTACAACTGAATAACTGAAGTCTCTTCTTCTTTGTTTCAACTACCGGCAATATTCTTTCCTTAATATAAAAAAAACAACATATTTTTTCAATAAATTGCGAAAAATTCGCACAGTGTATTGTTATCAAATGCCAAATTAATAAGAAAATAAAATAATGCAACGTATCAAAAGATAAAGTAATCAATTGTTACTTTATCGATAAATATAATCGACAAAGGAAACAAAATTAATTTAAATCTTCATTTTTGTTTGGAACCAACATATTTACAAATTTCAATAAGCTGTATCTTTGCGAAAAATTGTCCGATTTCAATGATTTTTTTTTCTTTTGTAGACAATTTAGTAATGTTTTATATAATCATGGGAATAGGAGCTTATATGAGTACAAAACCGATTTCGAGCCTTACTGTAATAATATATGATGGATGTACAATAGGTTAGGGATAGCAATGTTCTGTTGACTGCGTTGCCATAGGAACGCAGTTTGTCTTTCTATTTCATTTTTCCCTCTGCTTTTCAGTATATGATTCATAACTCCTCACGATTTTCTCCTAATTCAATGTATCTATAATCGTTGGAAAGCTGAGTTATTACTCTTCAACGCCATATCAATAACTTTTAGATTTGACGCATTTAAAAACAATAAATAAAGAAAAACTCCTCAAAGGTTTTTGTTTTATATCTCTAGTTCTATTATATTTACAGGGGTCTGGTTTATGTCATTTTGTGCAGCTTATGTAGTCCTAACTTAATGTAAATTTTAATGTGGATAAGTGGAGTCATTTTTATTTTATCCCACTTTTTGTGATTTTCGAAAGAAGATCGAAGGGGGGAGCCTTGGTTCCGATTTGGTGCAAAAAAATGTATTTTTTTTTTATTTCTATGAAAATTCGTATTTGAGTAATTGAGGCTTTATAGAGGTGCGAAATACAAATCTCAACTCTGTTTTCCCTTAAAAAAAATATTTGAACCCACTTTCCTCCTTCGGTCAGTACAAATTGTTTCATCGTCGTACTGATAATATAGCTATATGCCAAATATATAGTTATTTTCAAATAAAATGGGTTATAATAGAACTCTCCTAATGAAAATTAATCGAAAATAATAAATAATAAAATGAAAAACAAAAAATATTGGAAAAATAACCAAGGGAAAAGTGTGTAATTTTTTAGTTATTCACAAATAAAGTTTGTTTTCTTTTATAACTTTTTTGCCTGAATTTTCGGGATGATTGGACTATTTTGTCCGCCTGAAGGAGAAGGAAGCCTTCGAAATTGATGGCTCAATCTTGAGGTTTGGTGAAAAATTGACGATGATATGGCTTGCCGATCAAAAACACCATCGATAAATAATATAAACTCCTCCTCTCTCGATCATAGAGACCTCAAGTCGACGAAATGAGACATGTATTCAATGACAGTACTACAATTAGTGTAAGGTTGTGTGGATGCGAATCCTATGCCTTGCGTTATCTCGAAAATAGTACATTTTTGGGCTTAAAAACGCAGGATCCGATAGTTCCAGAGGAACTATCCAGGTCTTGCTGTACGCATCAAAATCTTCAAGATCCAATTTGTCCCGCATCGATCTACAGACCTACCACCGTTCCAGTATTGAAGCCTAGCAAAATGTTTGTATCGACTTTATTTATTTCAGAAAGAAAAACAAAAGTGGAGAATATGATTCGCTAACCCCCCGTGAAATTCTGAATCCAACGGTACCCCATTCATGGTGTTTGAGCATGACAGGAGCTTATATTTGGTACAAAATCGATTTCGAGCCTTACTGTAATAATATATTGTAATGTCAACATTACATGGCATTTAAATAGTGTCGCGAAAGTGGTAACAACACGAACTACGGGGAGAAAGTGCTGCGGATGGTGGGGGAAGCAAGCCTCATGTAACTCAGAATGTGACGGGCCGTCAAGAGAGAAGGTGATAGCGGCCAAGAGAGAAGGTTATGAGCCGCCAAGGTGACAAGCTGTCAAGAGAGTAGGTGCTAGCCAGCAAGCTGAGAAAATAGAAAAAGGAGTCCTAGCCGGAACATTCAGAGATAGAGCCACAAAGTTTAGACTGGGACAATCAAGGTTTTTGAAAACAATAATAAATTTTATATGTATAATTAGTGTATTTAGTAATTAGTAAATTATAGTTATTTAATGTTGAATGAGTGTTCAGTTGTCAGAATCCAACCTGAGATTTATGTTATGTGTTAAAATAAATAATATATTGAAAAAGGAAACTCGTTGTTTCATTTTGGAGGGAAAGAGGAACGTTACAATATGTACAGATTAGATTTAATCAATAAAAGCCACAACGTTACTGGGATGCACAAAGATGACTGGAAGGAAAAAAAAAAAAAAAAAATATATAAAATGAATTACTGTCCTTCACTTAGGATTAATATTATTTCTTTTTTATTTTCCTATCTTTACTAGGTAAAGACTGTAGCGCAAAAACGGCTCTAACGATTTTGCTTACTTTCCTATAATTCCTATAATCCGTGAAACTTTCCTATAATTTTCTAATTAATGTCCTTTCCCTTTTCGTACAAGTATTAAATTTCCAAAAAAATTCAGGAAAAAAAGTTATAAAGAAAAGAAAAATGTTTTGGAGCCTAACTCGCTAAGTATATATTCTATGGTAAAATTTAAATACTTTTGAAAGGTATTTAAATTACCTACAAAACTATATAAAAAACGTCATTTCAGACACCTACTAATGAAGATACAGCTATTCAATTTCTTATGTAAGATTATGAGTTCAAATCTCAGTGCCAGAAAGGGGAGAGAGAAAAAAGAAAATTAAGTGAAAGTATAAAAACCTAGTGCCCGCATCACACAAGTTTCACTATTTCCTCTACTTTTGACATAAATTATTATCTGATAAATTTGGGCTATGGCAAAAAGTTTTTGGTTAGCAATATTAGAGTGTATTGAATATTATACACTGCTCTCCCATAAGCTGGTTATATTGCTTTAGTTTATCAAAGAAATCGTGCCCAAACTATTCTTTGATTAATTTTCAGAAAAATAAATCTAATTCAATTTTTAGTTTGTTTCTTAATGGATACTTTTAAAAATATAAAAACTTTTTTGAAATAGACCAGAAAGTGTGAGTGGATACACCAGATTTTTTAAAAAGCTGTACATTAAAAATAGGGGAAGTGTATTAATTTAAATTTTTTTTTTATTAAATTCAAATTGAGTAAGTTAAATAATAAATCAGCCATACTCCTTACTCTAGTCAGATTGAGAGGGTAGGTCAATGATTTTTTGATGAAGTCTACCATTAATTTAACCATGCCAGGCAGGAATCGAACCAGCACAGTATGACATGGAAGCAGGTTTGAGAGCCTTACCAGTTACTTAAAACTAGACTGGTACAGCATAAGACTATCACCTGGCAGAGCTAGGTGGAGGAAACCCAGAATCACAGAGCAGTTTATTGCACCCAATATGTTACGTTACAATATTTTGGTCAAATGTTCAAGACCTAACGTGCAATGCTGAGCAGTTATGATTCTGGGTTGCCTATTGTAAAATTCTTCCTTAAATCAAAAGGATTTTAAAAGAATTAATGATTGAATGATTCAGGTGTAAATAATCAATCCAATTTCTATCTTTCATTACCCTTATTACCAAAACTTATAATTATTTATTTTTACAATTATACTGTTATGTTTCTATTGTAAAATCATGACAAGATCCTTGGAATTTTAAGGTTTTCAACTTCAATTTTAACTAGAGTGACAATATATTAAACTAATGATACGGTTAAAAAATGAGTGAAATAGCATTATAGATAATCGAAACATTAAATATACAATAAACCTGTCAAATAATTGACTTACCAATAAATGTCGAAACCAGTGTCCACAAAATAGGAAAGACTCGAGGAGCTCTGATTATTAAAACACGTCCCAAGGTTTCTGGATAATTCGCTTCAACTATCTCAATTATATGAAGCAAAGCCTATTTTGAACATATGAAAAAATTCTTGTAGGCAAAATATGTTGTTGGAAAAGAAACAAATTAGTAATTGATTGATGATAACAATTAATGCTTAAAACAAAACAGAAAAAAAATAAAATAAATTAATTGTTCAGGTAGACATTCAAGTTGTCAAGTAATAAGAGGTTATATAACCTGCATAATAACTGAAACCACAGATGTTTCAAATTTATTAAAACACCAAATATCAGATTAACAACCTAATCATAAATTATTTTTTAAATGAAAAATATTTACTTCTTAAATGAGGATATAATAATTACAGCCATGAGCCACATAGTATGATAGTAACATATATATTAAAATATAAAAAATGAATAAAATTTGAGTGAGTGTTAAAAACTAATTAATAAGGATTTAAGAAGTTGCTAGAGCATTGAAGTCTGGAAAAAATACAAATGAATATAAACTTATTTTATTGTATTAGGGCATACATCTTAATAAGTTTTTATTTATGGCGAGCTTTTGAGTATAGATGGATTAAACTGTAAGGAAAAAAAGAAAGAGAAAAAATATAAAGTTAATTCTTAAGAACATTATTTTTTTTAATCTCACTAAAGAAAAAGAAAATTTAAATTTTATAATATTTTCTCCTAAACAAAACAAGAATTGTTTCATATTGAAATAAAAAAATAATTAATATTTTGAAATTCATTTCCTCCTAAATGTAATGGTAAAAATAATGTCAAATATGAGAATATATTAAAATGTGTAATCAACAGATTCAATAACTTATGTGACTAATATTCACAACATCAAAAATTATCTATGATAAAAGTTAATTAATTAGAGAAAAAAAGCTTATACGCATTTCAAATTTCTCAAAAATACTGTTTCGATATGACTGAACAACAAATTTTAATTGAATAATAAAAGCCAGATGTTAGTAATTGACCATTTTTAATAAGTTCACCTTGATTCCTGGTCTCCAAAGATGTCTCATGTTAAGCCCTTCAAGATCCACAAGCAAACACCAGGTAGATATCGGCTTCCCTGAGGTAAGTGTAGCCTCTTCGGTTAATCTAAGACCTTCTTCGCAAACGTGCATTGTCTGATAAAAAGGAACAACTGATATTACATATTGTTACTTAAAACATTTAAAATAAATGATATCATTAATTTGTTTGAGTTATTTCATTGCTGCAATTGTGTACATTGATATAGCAGTAGCTGTATCTTACCACCGACAAATGATATAAACTGTTACAATAACACTATCATGTCCCTCTAGTCAATTAATACTAGAAGTTGACATCAATGGCAACACCTCACCATGAAAATATGAGGCTGATGCATCATCTACACCCTCAAAATATTTTTATTAGAAAGTATACAAATATACTAAACAGAAAAAAAAATTCAAACAATCAGTTTTAAAAATTAATTATATTTTTTCAATTTTTTAATTTTAGTACTAAAGGGTAAAGTACCTAAATAGCATTACTGTACACTAAAACTGTTGATAAGATTATTTTGTGCTAGAAATATAAAAATATTTAGAAACTATCACAAAATAATAATCAAGAAGCCATATCTTACAAGTTTTAAAAGACCATCTTCACCAATTGTTTTCAAGAGTCCTTTTACATCCATTTGACCAAGTCTCAGCAAATATACAGGTCTACCATCTAGCAAAAAATTATCAGTTTTAATTTGGATTTTTAAAGATTAAACAACTATATAAGAATCAAATACACAAAGATTAAAGATTATTTTTAAATAACAATTAAATAATTCATTAGCGGCTGTTAAAAAATAATTTAATAAATTGTAAGCAAATATTGATAAAAAATAAAAAAAAAAAATGTGAAGACATCCGATTCAGGCTATAACTGTCATTGGTTTGTCAATAAGTTTCTATATTAATTTATTAAATGCTATAATAAAAAGACAAAACAATTTCCACTAATAATCTTCTCCTTTCTTTTGCTGTTTTGCCTTTCAGTATTGAACTGGAGCCTCAATCCACTTCCAGCACTTCACTCTAATTTTGGATTATATATCATTCTGCTTACTTTTCTCGATCTTCCAAGATGTTCCCTGAATTTAAGCCTGGGTTGTCCTACAGGCCTTTGTCCTACATATTTCACATCCATACCTCAATTGATCAACTAAGTGTCTATCATTCTGCATACATTGTCTCCAACCACCTAAGTTGATGCTTCTTCAGATTTTCTTTCACTAAGAGTCTACCTAATTCGTCTCTAATGTCTTTTTTACATAGAGAAGTATTTTTTGTTCTCTAATAATCTAACTTAGTTAATGTTTTCATCACATAGAAAGAATCATGAAAGAGTATATGGTATATCTCCTTATATATCGCTCTTCTCTGAAACTTACTGTTTAAGTCTTTATAAGTTTTTTCTTTTAAATCATGAATTATTTACAGTAATCTGAGTTCTGCTCATAAGCACACTTCTCAACAATGAGAAAATTCGATTGATTATCTGCTTACTTGTAATATTATCCTTTCTAATGTTGTGGGCAGTAAAAAAAAATCTATAGTTAACTGTTAAAAGCTTAATATTTCAGAAAAATTAATACCTAATATATAAAGTTGTAAATGGTAGTGAAGAGTGATGAAAATTAATAAATAATAATTGTTGAAGATAATAATATTCACTATTAAATTATTAAATTGCAAATAAATGTTTCCATGGAAGCTCAAAATTAATACAGTATATAGAATTATCATATTTTATATTTATGGTTTAAGTAACATTCTTAAGGTTTTTTAATTTATATAAAATTAATTTCTACTAGAAGTAGACTGGTAAATGGAAGCTGTGGATTTAATTTTTTAATATAATTGAAAAATAAAAGTTTTCAGATCACATAAATAATACACGAACTTACCCCTATCATGATGATGCCATCCTCCAGGGAAGTAACTTTTAACGATCTGCGGTACAACATACTCAGACAAAACTTTATCTACATTATGTTTCTTCCTCCAACTCAATGATTCAGAAAGAAGAGTCCGTGCTTTATCTACGTTAAAGTCACGTGCCCTCAAAAACCTCAGAAGTGTAGTGTCACTAGGAATCTGACAAAGAGAGAATACGAAAACATTAACTTCATTTCAACCCATGCTGATTTCAAAGTGGGATCATAGAAAAAAATAAATAATTTTGTTTTTACCTTAGACTTATGCAGCTGAGCAACTGACTTCCGCAACTGAACAAGTCTAGATTCTTGCATAAGAGTAAGCTGTCCAAGATATCTCTGAATGTACTCAGAATCAAGTTGGGATTGACAATCTGAAGAGAAACAAATAAATAGCTAACAATGATTAAAATCTTTATTATGAACCGAAAAGAGATAAATAACTACCTTTGGAAGACTGCTGACCTGAGTTACGTCTTGGTTTAGAGCAAAGAGAAATTTCAGTGATAGTCACAGTATCATCTCCTTCATTGATTTCTTTTCTGAATACAAATAGTGACAGTTGTTATAAAGTTTGGTTAATGGTATATACTTTTATTAACCTGTTCATTAAAAACTAACAATCATTTTATTTAGAAAAGGTTTAATTAAATAATACTAACTCGTCATCGATTTCAGGTGATGTAGGATCTCTTGTCCACCTAGACACAGTAGTGATTCCTTCACTTCTCAATTCATTGATGAAAAATTCCATCACCTCTTTACCCTTAGCAATGTTAGCAGAGTATTGCTTCATAGCTAACTTTTCAATGGTATTTTCAAACCCTAGAAAAGATTTGATGTCAACTTCTGCAGATTGTTCAAAACAAGTCCACTCAGTATTTTCAGGATGAACCTACAAAATACAAATACAAGAGTAAAAACATCATCTTATTATTCAAATATTTATGAGTACATCAATTACACAATTGCACTTAAAAAAGATAGAAATATTTTGTTGAATTGAATTTGTATCATTTACCTCAGCATTGAAAAGAACACTGCAGGATTTGAAATGAAAAGTTAACTTTTATTTTTAATCAGTTCAATATGACTGGAACTTTTATTTTTTGTTGTTTTGGTGCCAGAATTTCTGTCAATAGAAATATTCTATTAAAGGATTTACAAAACTTTTACTTAAAAGTTCTGTTAAAACAATTCATTTACCGAAAAAATTAATTTATAACAGTGATTTGCAGTCGATTCTTAATATAAGATTCAGGCAATTCATTCATGATAATTAAATATGTAATCTAAGTACAAATTACTGCTTATTTCTCATTTAACATAAATTATTTTATAAATACATAAATGAATAAAAGTTAAATTTTATTTTAAAACATTTTACAAAATGGTTTCATCAAAATTATTTTTGAAGCTTTTTAAAAAAGGTTAGACATTTAGTACAAAAAAATTTAATTTATATCTTAACCTGTTTTTCCTAAGCCAAATTGGAATTTTATTTCATTCAATATTTCTCTAGTTCATTTGCTTTATAAATAGGATAAAATTAATCATTCTGATACATTTTGTAATTTCTTTTATTCCAAACAAAAACCGTTTTGTAAATTAAGGATTGATCACTATGAGTTCTCTTACTGAAATAAACTGTGACTAAGTGAGGTTCCTGTTTGTGCATTATTTGGAGGTAAGATGGCTGGTTAGCATATTATTGAAATAAAATGTAACAGAATACAATACACAAATCTCGTGTGTTACTTTATACAAATTATTATGATAATGATAAAAAGTAAATAAATGCTGTTTTTACCGTTTCTTTTCTACTTGACTCTGAATGAGGCAAAAACATTGAATAATACGAATATTTTTTTCTAGAAACATTTTGATTCAATTAAAATTTTAATCTTTAACATTTAAAATACACATATAAAACAAAATTTATTTATTAGATTTTGGTAAATGTAGAAGTTCCAGATTTCCCATAAGTATCGTCTTTATACACGATTAATCGGTGTAAATTTTACTTGTAAGGTACTTCTATAAGTAGACACATCTGTACTGAAAAATAGCGAGTGACAAAATTGAATAACTATAAAAATTATTAAAACCATAAGCTGTATTTGTATTAGCAGAAGAGCCTATGTGAGCAGACGAATTTTTTTGCATAAACTCACATTTTATATTAATATAAATTGTTGAAATTAGAAAACATTTTTAATTACAAAAGATGGATATCAAATTTTAATAGTGTCACCAAAACTTGTAACTTCATCAGAAAATACCTTTAACAATAATCCACTAACGACATTTTTAAATTTTTATGTTGCAAGATTATCAATAGTTTCCGCTGATTAAAACATGAAGTTTTGAATAATTTTTTAAAGTTGTATAATTTGCATGGACGGGAAATGGAGGGGGGAGGAGAGGATACTCTACCACTGTGGCAAATTTCTAGAATTTTATTTTTTAATTTATCAATTTTGTAGCAGCTTTTTGATTATTTTGATCCTAATACATTAGGTAAGATGAGTTAATGTTACAAAATAATGATTTTTATTTCGAAATATACTGTCTAAAATAAAAATGTTCACTTTTGGGAGGACAGAGTTAAGAAGAGGCAGCAAAATTAAGCTATACTACCCAGGGTGAGATTATAGTTTCCGGCTTTGAAAAGTAGTAATAGAGATATCGTTACTTAATTGCCAACTACAGCTTTAGTTCCTGCGAAAAAAAAACGAGGAAAAGCAAATTAACACAAGCTTTAAAACTTCTACTACCTTGAAAGTTACTTTAGTAGCAAAGAAAGTTTTAAATGGCCTATCAAACGAAAGGTCATAGGGAATTTCTGAGCCTTAATCTAACACGAAAAAGGTTGTTAGAGGTGATACCTTTTAAGTGAAAGATATTTTAATCCAAGTCTCACAAACATACAGCATGAAAGGATGCATTTTCGTCTTATATAGACATAACTTAATTTAACATATATATGCTAATTACTCGATAAATACAACAATGGGCAATAACTGAATAATAAATCTGGCAATATTCCCCGTTTACCAAAATAACTAAATATTTTGTTATATTATATGTATTACACAAGCGGATTAAGAATTTTTGAGAGGGGCTTCAGCCCGAAAGATTATTTTTTAAAATATATTTACTTAGGAAGAAAAATAAATAAACTAACTACCTATATGAAATAGAGTTTAAGTGATTCTTTAAGTATTAACTGTAATTACACGAAAACTAATACTTTTAGAGGTAATTATTAATTTTTTTTTCATAAGATATGGTTATAATTTACCATTTTGGTGGAGGGAGGAGGCTTCAGCCCGAAAACTCTCTCCCCTCCTCCCTCCAAGTTCCGCCTGTAACGTATTGCATTACATTATATTTATATACAAAGCTAAAGATTTCTTGAAGCGCTAATTCGAGTAACTACTAATCTGATTTGTACAATTATTTTTGTTTTACATAGCTCATTTAATGAGAAATCTTCTATGACTGATAACATCACAATACGACCCATATGAACAGAGCGATAACCATAAACTTCAATCAATGCTGAAAACTGTAGACCAGTAGCGGATTCCTAATATGGAAATTTTTATTTTATTAATCCATACTTGTTTCTTTGAGTGATCTCAACTAACTTCTTAAACAATCAAAATATGTACACTTTTAAAATTACATCGCATGTATTTCATCTACTAAATGTAAGCACATGTCAAGAAAAATTATCCCTATACCCTATAAGCATTATTGTTCCTGTAAAAAGTATTTGTTTTTCTGTTTTATTTTATTTTATTTTTTTTATAGGCATTCAAGGGCCACAAAACATTATTTTATTTTATTTTTTAGAAACTAGAGGGGTACTGCCCGACGAGGGACCAATCCTCATTTTACAAATTATACCACAATTCATTCAACTGTAATATTTGTGCTCAAATTATATAACTCTTATTTACATGTATTCTGTAACTCAGAATGTATTATTTTTTATCAACATAATCTACAAATCTATTTTATACATCGCGCCTCATTGCCGATTTGTTAACATAATAAGGGAGAAATAATTCTGGGAATAAGAAGTGCAGTGGCTTCGTTACAGTACGTTCCGCTCTGTATATGTAAAATAAAACATAATACAGTCACTAAAATCTTTTTTATCTTATAGAGAGATATTAGATTCTTCTTTTTTTTTTTTTAACCAAAATAAATTAATTTTACAATAAAAAAAAAACAAGCCCCCTCCCTCCAAATTAAATACTGGATCCTCTACTGATTGTCATTATAAATAAAGATATCTTGGAATAAAGGATTATAAATACGACGAAGGGCGTACGCAGCTTTCATATAGGGAGAGGGACTGAATATAACAATTGTTAAATATTTTTATATATAACATAATATATACATTGAACAACAATAAAAATAAAATATTTTTCTAGGGTTTTCAGCAAATCGTCTTTATTATATTAAGTTTTATTTTCTTTCAAATTATTAAGCGGTGGGTCAACGGCCCTCTCCTGTTCTCGCTCCTTACGCTCATGAATAAGATTTAATTGGCGTAGGACACTAGCGGATTCAGGATTTAATTTTTGGGGGGCGGCTTCAGCCCGGAAGCTCTTTTTTTTCATATATATAACGATAATTACTTTGGAAAAACAGAAAGATACTAACTACCTATATGAAATGGTGTTTAAGTGATTCTTGAAGTCTTATTAAATGTAATTAAACGAGCAATAATACTTTAAGATATAATTTTTTAATATATTTGACCATAAAACAAGGTTACATTTTACAATTTTGGGGGGGGAGAGGGGCGCTTCAGCCCGAAAGCCCCCCCCCCCTCCGTAAATCCGCCTGTGGAGTAGGACATCCCATCCTCCATTTCGACCTCTTACCGCCAATTTCCGATTTGCCGAACTAATATAATCCTAAAATTTGCTACATCATCCACCAACTAGGGTCAGACTTCGTCAACACTCACTTGCTACGGTCATTTATTCAAATTAAATTTAATTTATAAGATGGTTCATCTATGGTTGCAGTTAACTTTACTGTAATTCGTTTTTTAAATTTTAATATTAGTCTTCCACTCATCCCTACAACCCCCCTCGAAGGTTGAAGCGGCAGCGGCCCAGAGATCTCTTGTAGTATTTATATCTTGGAGTTCTGGCAATGAACAGATTCTCCACCTAAGACATGAGTGTATGTGGCTAAAGCGCTCTCGTTCAAACTCCACTGGCTGTAGCACCAGTGACGCGGTTGAGAGAGTAGAGCAAGGATCTCTTGGAGTCCTGTTTTTCATTCTATTGTTGGAGGGAGAAGCCTGGCTTGGGGTTCCCTGCCTGTGTTTTTATGTTTTTAATTTAATAATCTTTAGATTATTTTATTTTTTATTGTACATAGTTTTTGATAATTATTTTACTTTTGTTAAATTTATATTTTCTGTATATATGGTGTGAATGTGTTCATATATCACTATAATTATTGTTCACATGACAGATTATTATATTTCTAAATTAAAAAAAAAAAAAATACTAGTCTTAACTCTAATTTAAAATGAATTAAATTGTACTTAAATCCCACAATGGTGAATTAATTGCAAGCAAAACAACCGGATTGAGTTCGTTTCATTCACAGTCGCAAATTATAGCAATATTATATTTATCTATTTTTAATGTTCAGAAAAAACAAATTTAATGATAGTCTAGGCCAATAATATTGATACATATATGTCGAAGTTTTTGTATAATAAGTAGAGAGTATATATTTTTTAAAATATAGAAATTCATCCTTCAAACAGTCGCAAGCTCATTTTTATCACTTCAAAAGACTTTCGGGGCTTTGCATCATTCCCTTTTTTTTTCTTTTGCTTCCTATGATTTT